GCCAAACTTCCCACACAGAACCCACAAGAACAACAGAAAATAATGTGTTTTCTGTTGGTCTTTGGCGACCCCTCTGATACCCCCTCGCGACCCTCCAAGGGGTCCCGACCCCCAGGTTGAGAACCACTGCTGTAATGCTATAAGTCTCTCTGTATACAATCACACCACTCCTTAAGCAAATATATAGAATGGGAACAGCAGGGGTTTTTCTACAATTACAATCTATACTTGTGTACGTCAACCTCATCTATAGGTTGAGGGCTGGGTTCAGGGCCCAAGTTATGGAGTTTGAGAGGAACTGCAGATAACTCAAGGGCCATTCCATGGAGAAGGGAAAGCCATGCCAGCACCATTTTCTGATTTGCCATCTTAATTTTCCTGCCCAAGCATTCGAAAACAACAAAAATCAGACTGTGGCAGAGTATGGACATGGGAAAATCTTGTAGGTTCTCCCAGGACAAACCAAGCTCTTGCCACTCCACACAGAGAAGGGAATGAAGGGAATGAAGTCAATCCAATTTTTTGGGTCGATTTTTAAACTTACATTTCAAAACGTATACACAAATATACCGTACTTACCAGATTCCAATGCTCACCTTTATTGACCTAATGAACTTCACAAAATTAGGGTGTGTATTAGAATTGCATAATATGGTAAATTCTTTTTTTTTTTTTTTTTTTGGTTTTGGGGGTTTTGAAAAATTGAGGTGTGCATTAGATTCGATGCAGCATTAGACTTGAGTTGATATGGGTATAGTAAACGTAAAGGGTAAAGGTTTCCCCTGACATTAAGTCTGGTCGTGTCTGACTTGGGGGTGGTGCTCATATCAATTTCTAAGCCAAAGAGCCGGCGTTGTCTGTAGACACCTCCAATGTTATATGGCCAGCATGAATGCATGGGGCACCGTTACCTTCCTGCCAGAGTGGTACCTATTGCTCTAGTTACATTTAGATGTTTTTGAACTGCTAGGTTGGTAGAAGCTGGGCCTAACAGCAGGCACTCACCCTATTCCCCAAATTCAACCGCTGACCATTAGGTCAACAAGTTCAGCAGCTCGCTGCACCATCGGGGATTCCCCATGGGTATACATTATGCTAAATGTGTCAGATGCCTCAGACAAATGGCTTTCAATGTCATTAAATGCCCTGATATTAAGTGACTTGCTGTATTATGATTGTATGTTTACTTTCAAGGAGGTGAAGATATGCTTTTCGGATTCGCTGCAAAAGTGCACCAAACGGTGCAGAGGTCAGAGCAGATGACAGAGCATAGCTACACTATTGTAGCTGTGCCTCTACTGCAAAATCTCAGCCATTATTCCCAATAACATGGTCTATCAAATGTTGAACAGACTAGCTCTAGGCAATTCAACTGCTGCAGCTTCTGCGTAGATGTCCTTGCAAGGAGTGCTGTGGTTCTGTGTCACCGTGGGATAAAAAAAGAAGCAAACAAGCAGAGCTAAGGCAAAGAGAAAGCTTGGGGAGGAAACTAGAACATCCTATCAATGCAATGCATGCAGATATACACACACATAAGAGGACAGAACCAAACTTGCTTGCTTTCAGTACATATAGCTGACTATCCAGTGGTTCTCAACCTGTGGGTCCCCAGGCGTTTTGGCCTACAACTCTCAGAAATCCCAGCCAGTTTACAAGCTGTTAGGATTTCTCTGAACTGATGACCAAAACATCTGGGGACCCACAGGTTGAGAACCACTGCAAGACTGTGTATGCCTTCAACTCATCTTTTGACCTATGGTGTCCCTATGGATTTCTTTGGTCTTTTTTCAGCAAGAAATACTCAAAAATAGTTTTTCTTGGTCTGAGGCTGGATCTATACTGCCCTATATCCCAAGATCTGATCCCAAATTATCTGAACTGGGTTATATAACTCTTCACTGCCAGATAATCTGGCACAAGAAGATAATCTGGGATCAGTTCCTTGGATATTGGTCTGTGTAGGTCTAGCCTGAGGCCCCTTCCACACCGCAATATAATTCAGATTATCAAAGCAAATCATCCACATTATCTGCTTTGAACTTGATTATATGAGTTTACAACACCACCTAGGAGCCCCCGGTGGCGCAGTGGGTTAAACCCCTGTGCCGGCAGGACTGAAGACCGACAGGTCACAGGTTCGAATCCGGGGAGAGGCGGATGAGCTCCCTCTATCAGCTCCAGCTCGTCATGCGGGGACATGAGAGAAGCCTCCCACAAGGATGATAAAAACATCAATTCATCCAGGCGTCCCCTGGGCAACGTCCTTGCAGACGGCCAATTCTCTCACACCAGAAGCGACTTGCAGTTTCTCAAGTCGCTCCTGACACGACCAAAACAACACCACCTAAGCTCTGCGAGTGCAGCATTTTTCCGAATGAAGCAGAGTGTTTGAGGACCGGGACATCCGTAGGGATACCAAGGTGCTTGCTTATAAAGCTATTGTACTCCCAACCCTGATATAAGCCTGTGAGACATGGACTATCTACAGACGTCACATGCAACTCCTAGAATGATTCCATCAGCGTTGCCTCCAAAAGAAACCTGCAAATCTCCTGGGAAGACCGGCAGACAAATGTCAGTGTACTGGAAGAAGCAAAGACCACCAACATTGAAGCGATGGTCTTCTGCCATCAACTCTGCTGGACCGGCCACATTGTCCGAATGCCTGACCACCGTCTCCCAAAGCAGCTGCTCTACTCCAATCTCAAGAATGGAAAATGGAATGTTGGAGGACACAAAAAGAGATTTAAAGATGGACTCAAAGCCAACCTTAAAAACTGTGGTGTAAACAAAGAGAATTGGGAAGCCCTGGTCCTTGAGTGCTCTAGTTGGATGTCAGCTGTGACCAACAGTGCTGTAGAATTTGAAGAGGCATGAACGGAGGGCGAAAGAGAGAAATGTGCCAAGAGGAAGGCATGTCATGCCAACCCAGAACGGGATGGCCTCGCTGCGGGAGAACATGCAGGTCCAGAATAGGGCTCCACAGTCACCTACGTACCCACCACCAGTACACTGAACTTGGAAGATAATCTTACTTGGTCAACAAGGCCTAAGTAAGTAAGTAAGTAAAGTATATAATCCAGTTCAAAGCAGATAATCTGGATTTCATATGGCAGTGTAGAAGGTGCCTGGGTTATATCCTACTGTAGAGTCTTTGCTCTTATTTAATTCTGGACTAGTGTGCGGAACGTTAGTGCTAACCAGGAAGCTGTGAACTGTAAATAAATTAAACTTACTACTTTTAAAAGAGGTAAATTATAAAATTAATATATTTCTTAATTCATTATATTGTTAACTCATTACAGTGGGGAAAGTGATGTTAAATTACAAAAATGGCCAGAACTGAATTAAAGCAATGAGAAACAATTGTTTCGGAATGTCTTTTAAAAAATTCTTGTTGAAAAGTGCAATGGATGAGAGGTAACAAATTAAATTTAAATTAAGTATAGTAGAGTCTCGCTTATCCAACATAAACGGGTCGGCAGAACATCGGATAAACAAAAATGTTGGATAATATGGAGTCTCCTCCTGTTACCCGTGCAACGTGGTGCCAGACACCTAGAATACTAACAAGAGGAACTCAAAGGGTCAAGGCAAGGCAACGCCTCGGGGTTAGAGCAACCCAGTAGGAAGTGTCCGGATGCAGAAGAGGAGCGTAGACATCACAGAGGGAAGGAGGGCACTTCCGCTTCCGGTCCTGCCTCTTTTCCCCATTTCATCATCATCATCATCATCATCATCATCATCATCCTCTTTAATTACTTATTAATCGCCCTCCATCCGAGAATGCTCTAGGCGATTTACAGCTAAATTGTAAAAGATAAAATACATACATACAGACTTTAAAAATTAACAGAGATCGAATGCTCTAGTAAAAAGCCAGGTCTTAAGTGCGAGAGTAAAAGGCCCTAAGTCACGCATGGCTCTCATATAGGGCAGCAAGGAATTCCATAAGGCAGGGGCAGAAATAGAAAAAGCCCTGCGTCTGGTGCTTTCTCTAGGACCCGGTATATAGAATAAGTTGCGTTGGGCTGGTCATTGCGACCTCCGATGATGGGAGAAGGAGAGGCGGTCCCTTAGGTATGATGGACCCTGGCCGTAAAGAATTTTAAAGGTCAGAACTAACATCTTATACAGGCCACGGTACTCAGTTGGAAGCCAATGTAAATGTTGCAGCACTGGCGTTATATGGCATATCATGGGTGTTCTTGTGAGTAGCCTGGCTGCCGCATTCTGAACAATTCAGAGCTTTCGGGTCGTAGAAATAGGAAGGCCAGCATACAGGGCGTTGCAATAGTCCAGCCTAGACGTGGCCGTGGCATGGATGACAGTTGCCAGAGCTTCGTCAGATTTCCTCCCTCCTCCTCCTCATCTTGCCTTTTTCATTTATTGGAAATGGAGAGAGAGTTGGGGAGCGCTCCTTTAATTGAAGTGGAAATGCTGGAGCAAAAGGGGGGTGTTGGATAAGAGCGTCGGATAAGACAGAAGGTCGGATAAGCTCTACTGTATATCCAACATTTATTCTTTCGGAGCATTCCTCATGTCAAAAACTCACAAATGGGTCCCTTGTTAGAAAGTTTTATTTCTCTTTATTTACAGATTTATTTTAAAAAACACATACACACAAAACGCAGTATAGAAAGTAGTTTCAATGACAGTAGGTGAGAATGGGAAAGGTTCATTCTGGGTGGGAGATCTTAACTTATGATATTAAATCATTTGTTCACCATGTTCACAAGATGCCAGTGTCCATGTCTTCTCTCTAGGAAGTCCTCAGCCATAGTTCAAAGCTGGACTGAGTCTGCTATGCAGCATGGTCCCTGTATCTATGGGACCGTCATCCACCTTCATGTGTCCACCTCTGACAAAATCTGCTGGGCCTTTTCAAGGTCCTCCAGTGTAACTCTAGGATATTCTTGGTCCAAAAGTCCATTTTAATAGGGTTCGACATTATCCACTTCTTCGCATATCATTGAAAAGTCCAGGAATGTATTCTCGCAGGAGTCGTACTGTACTGTTCTACCTAACCATCCACCATAGTAAGAGACTCTATTATCTGAGGATGCTTGCCATAGATGCAGGCGAAACGTCAGGAGAAAATGCCTCTAGAACATGGTCATATAGCCCGGAAAACCTACAATAACCCAGACTCTATTCTGTTTCCAACACAGCGCTTATTTGCTTCTAGGTTCTTGTGGGTTTTTTCGGGCTATAGGGCCGTGTTCTAGAGGCATTTCTCCTGACGTTTCGCCTGCATCTATAATAGTAAGAGACTCTATTATCCGAGGATGCTTGCCATAGATGCAGGCGAAACGTCAGGAGAAATGCCTCTAGAACATGGCCCTATAGCCCGAAAAAACCCACAAGAACCTAGTGATTCCAGCCATGAAAGCCTTCGACAATACATATTTGCTTCTACTCTTGATGCCATGAATTGTAAATTCATGAATTGTGAATTCTATGATCAAACCCCTTTGTCTGAACAAGGGGATTTGGTTTTTTACTTTTTCTGAAAAATTAGGAGAGGAAATGCATCCCTTTTTTGCTTTTCTTGCTTGAAGCAGGCTTGGGATAGCTTTCAGCAAATCCTGAAGGTATCAACATACCACATTCTAGTGCCCTATTTGAGCTATTGCAGACACTTACTTCCCCACTGCATCCCAAGACTGGGTTGTTCATCCATAGCTCATGACATCAAGACACTTTCTCTTTTCTTTCCTCTCTCCCCTCTCCCTCCAGCCAAAAATTACCACTTGTAAACATTGCCTGAGGAAGAGATGTAAAGAGGTTGCACATATATGCTGTCTTTATAGTTGGCCTAGCAAATACACTCAATCCATACAAATCTGGAAAATATATTCTTATACATTTTTATATTCCCAATGTTCAGAATCAGGACAGAGCGTCATGTTTCCAGGAGAAGGAATGGGGTGAGCAAGATAAACCTTCTCAGTTCTCAACAAGGCCATCCAATGGGGACACATCTGAATCATTCTCTCAAGCATAGTCTAAACCAAGGGTCCTTAAACTAAGGCCCAGGGGCCGGATACGGCCCTCCAAGGTCATTTACCTGGCCCTCACTCAGGGTCAACTTAAGTCTGACATGATTTGAAAGCACACAACAACAACAACAACAACAACAATCCTATCTCATCAGTCAAAAGCAGGGCGACACTTCTCATTGAAATACTAATAAGTATATATTTGTTAATATTTGTTCTTCATTTTAATGATTGTATTGTTTTCAAGTGTTTTTTTGCACTACAAATAAGATATGTGCAGTGTGCATAGGAATTCATGTTTTTTTTCAAATTATAATCCGGCTCTCCAACAGTTTGAGGGACTGTGACCTGGCCCTCTGTTTATAAAGTTTGAGGACCCCTGGTCTAAACTGAAGGGAGACACTTGCAATGTTGGAAATAGCAACCCTCTCAAGCCTCCAGTAGTTGTTTGTTCTGTATATAATTCAGATTGTTTACTGTATTGTATATGTGTGTGTTGATTTGCAGTTTTCCTTAACCTCTTTGTTGTAGGAGAGGGTGCAGACCATGTGATCAGAACTGGGCTTGTTCAGGACTCAGACTCCATTTTAGAACTGTTATGCTTAAGACTTCAGTAGGAACTATGTGTTCAGTTTAGAGTTCGATAGGAACTGTTTGTTTCAGACTTTAGTAGGAAGAGTATCCTTAGAGACACCATTGGACTTTCAGACTAGACGGAGACTATTAGACTCTTGGCACAGAGAGATGCTTTGGACTATGCACTATTGATTCTAGGAAATGATACTCTGTGTTACCTACCCAGAGAAACTACTTCAAATCCTATTTGTAACTGGATTGATGTCAAAAGTATGATAGCTGGGACCCTATGCTGGTTACGCACCACGGGTCAGAATTCATGAAGGGAAGATGTGCGCGAGACAGTGCAGTGAGTGAGAGACGCAGCTATGAGAGAGGGAGGAGGAGGGGGTCTACAGCACACACATCCTGCTCTCCCGGAGCCCCGGCTCCTCCACTGTTAGAAAGCAGGCGGGGAAAAGTAGAAGAGGAGGGGAAGGGGGGGAATCCACCGCTCTGTTTGCACTAGGGCCTTGTAAAAACCTTTCCCGGCCACTAGCACACTTTCTGCCCTTCAAAGAAAGCAGCCCCAGCAGCTGGGAACAGTCTAAGCGGACTTCCCTTCATTAATTCTGATGCACGTTGCGCAACTAGCGTAGGGTTCAGTGTCCCAGCTATCATACTTTTGCCACATTGATAAGCAAAGTACCTGTATGCTGAATACATGAAGTTTGTGAGTAAACCAATTACATTACTTTTAAAGAAGTCTATCTTATTTTTTGTCTCTTGACAGTATGATTTAAAGGCAAATATATAAAAGGGAGAATAGATGTTTTTGGGCAACTAAGATATCATTTTCCCAAAAGGTTATGACATTAAGAGGTCATGCTTTTTACCAAGCGGTTGTGGCATATTTTTTCAAAAGGTTGTGACTTCTAACAAGGTCATGCCTTTCCAAAAAACATAAAGGTAAATGTTTCCCCCTGACATTAAGTCTAGTTGTGTCCAACTCTGGGGGGTGGTGCTCATCTCAATTTCTAAGCTGAAGAGCCAGTGTTGTCTGTAGACACCTCCAAAATTATGTGGCCAGCATGACTACATGGCATTCTGTTACCTTCCCACAGAAGCAGAAAGAGAGACAGGATGATAGTTTGCTAGATCAATTCCACGTGAGGGCATGTTAATGTTCTGGAAGAACTCATTTTCCATGTTCAACTATAAAAGTTCCTTCTGCAAAGATCCTTCCATCCACATGCATTTATAGTCAGTTATCAATGTTCCCTCGTTCTTAGCCAAGATTATTTGACACCATGCATGGGCAAACCTTGGCCCTCCAGTTGTTTTGGACTTCAACTCCCACAATTCCTAACAGCATCAGACCCTTTCCTTTTCCCTTTTTGGAAGGGAAAAGAATAGGCCAGAGACTGTTAGGAATTGTGGGAGTTGAAGTCCAAAATATCTGGAGGGCTGAAGTTTGCCAATGCCTGTTCTACAACACTCAACAATGCAATTTTAACTGAAAGTTTTCCTATTTTTATTTATTTCTGTTCAGTGTAATTGGGAGATCAATGCCGGTTGTTGCCCTTTAATAATTTAGCTTCTGTTCTGGAATGGGAAATTTTAATCAGCCGTTTGCTTTTAATCTTTTTTTCTTTTCTTTTCTAGAGAAATAGTATTATTTCACTCTATCAGAAATAAATGATGAAGGGAAAGCAGAAGTTTAAGCAGCCTTCCAGAAGTGTAACTATAATCCCTGTTATTCTCCTGCCTATGGAATCACAGAATCCTAGAGTAGGAAGAGACCTCGTGGGCCATCCAGTCCAACCCCATTCTGCCAAGAAGCAGAAAAATCCCATTCAAATCACCCCCGACAGGTATCCATCCAGCATCTGCTTCAAAGCCTCCAAAGAAGGAGCCTCTACCACACTCTGGGGCAGAGAGAGAAGGGGGGGGGGGGGGGGGGAGAGAGAGAACAGCTCTCCTTATAGTCAGGAAGTTCTTCCTCATGTTCAGGCGGAATCTCCTTCCTTTTCTATAGTTTGAAGCCATTGTTCCATTGCATCCTAGTCTCCAGGACAGCAGAAAACAAGCCTGCTCCCTCCTCCCTATGACTTCCCCTCACATATTTATACATGGCCATCATGTCTCCTTCTCAGCCTTCTCTTCTGCAGGCTAAACATGCCCAGCTCTTTCAGCTACTCCTCATAGGGCTTGTTCTTTGAGTCACCCTCTTCCTCTGGACACATTCCAGCTTGTCAACATCGTCCTTCAATTGCAGTGCCCAGAATTGGACACAGTATGACTGCAAGTAAAGTGGTCTAACTATGGCAGAATAGAATAGAGGGGGAGCATGACTTCCCTGGATCTGGGCACTAGGCTCCTATTGATGCAGGCCAAAATCCTATTAGCTTTTTAGCCACTGCATGACATTCCTGGCTTCTGTTCCCCTTCCTCTCCACAAGGACTCCAAAGATCTTTTTCACACATACTTCTGTCAAGCCAGGAATCGTCCCTCATTCTGCATCTTTGCATATCTTTTTTCTGACTAAGTGGAGTCTCTTGCATTTGTCCCTGTTGAACTTCAATGTGTTAGTTTTGGCCAATCATCTCTCTAATCTGTTCAGATCATTTCAATTCTGCTCCTGTCTTCTGGAGTATTCTCTTTCCCTCCAAATTTGGTCCCATCTGCAAACTTGATGATCCTGCCTTCTAACCCTTCACCTAAGTCATTCATCAAGATCCTGAACAGGACTGGGCCCAGGATGGAAACCTGCTGATGGCACTCTACTCATCACTCCTTTCCAGGATGAAGAAGCATTGGTGAGAATCACCATTTGGGTGTGTTTGCTTAGCCAAATGCATTCACCTGAGTTGGAAATCTAAGAATTGGATTTTGAAAAATTCAGCTTGCTGTGGAAACAAGGATTGGAGATAAAGCTTCAGAGGAGACCCCTTTTCGTCATAATAACTCCTTCAGGAGTGAATTTCCCTTCCGAAGGGTAGACTTCTCTCACTTCCTGTTGTCTCAGTCCCAATGTTCTTAATTATGAGTCATATAAACCCATTTTCCTGGTTCCAACAGACCTCACTACCTCTGAGGATGCTTGCCATAGATGCAGGCGAAACGTCAGGAGAGAATGCCTCTAGCACATGGCCATATAGCCCAAAAAAACCTACAACCACCCTATGAGTCATTTGTAAGGCACATGTTTGTAACTCGGGGACTGCCTGTATATAGTTACTCCAGTGCAAGCTGAACTGCCTGGAACATAATTTATCAATCAGTATAACATTATTTGGTGAGTGAACATATATTCCATATTTTGTCTGTTCCGATTACAGTTCCATCCTCATGATGCACTTTCCCTCGCCCTTAATAAAGGTCTAACCCAGCAGTTCTCAACCTTCCTAATGCCTTGACCCCTTAATACAGTTCCTCATGTTGTGGTGACCCCCAACCATAAATTTATTTTTGTTGCTACTCACAACTGTATATTTTGCTACTGTTATGAATTGTAATGTAAATATCTGATATGCAGGATGCATTTTCATTCACTGGACCAAATTTGGCACAAATACCCAATACGCCCAAATTTGGATACCGGTGGGGTTGGGGAGGATTTATTTTGTCATTTGGGAATTGTAGTTGCTGGGATTTATAGTTCACCTAAAATCAAAGAGCATTCTGAACTCCAGCAATGATGAAATTGAACCAAACTTGGCACACAAAACTCCCATGACCAACAGAAAAGACTGGAAGGGTTTGGTGGGCATTGACCTTGAGTTTTGGAGTTGCAGTTCACCTATATCCAGGGACTACTGTGGACTCAAACAATGATGGATCTGTACCAAGCTTGGCACAAATACTCAATATGGCCAAATGTGAACAGTGGTGGAGTTTGGGGTAAATAGACCTTGACATTTGGGTGTTGTAGTTGCTGAGATGTATAGCTCACCTACAACCAAAGAGAATTTCAAAGCCCACCAACACCAACAATAGAATGGGGCCAAACTTCCCACACAGAGCCCCCATGACCAACAGAAAATACTGTGTTTTCTGATGGTCTTTGGTGACCCCTTTGATACCCCCTCGCAAAATGCTGGTCTGACCCTATTGTTCATTCCTTTTGAGCTCCTCCCTCAGAAACACATTATCTCACTACCTATCTCACCCAGGGTTTTATCAATTTTATCCTAGTACATTTGGCCTGCCCACTGTGTTCTATTTCTCCATCATGTTATTTTGAAACTGATTATTTTATTTTGCTATTTCTTGTATTTATTTTGATGGTATTTTTTCTTCTTTGTATTTTATTTTGCTGTATTGTAATTCTGGGCTTGGCCTCATGTTAGCTGCCCCGAGTCCCCTTTGCGGAGATGGTGGCGGCATACAAATAAAGATTATTATTATTATTATTATTATTATTATTATTATTATTATTATTCACTGATTCTTTTATGAAGCATCAGAATTGTCAATGCTTCTTCCAAAGAATGCTGGGACTTATAGAATCATAGAATCAAAGAGTTGGAAGTGACCTCATGGGCCATCCAGTCCAACCCCCTGCCAAGAAGCAGGAATATTGCATTCAAATCACCCCTGACAGATGGCCATCCAGCCTCTGTTTAAAAGCTTCCAAAGAAGGAGCCTCCACCACACTCCGGGGCAGAGAGTTCCACTGCTGAACGGCTCTCACAGTCAGGAAGTTATTCCTCATGTTCAGATGGAATCTCCTCTCTTGTAGTTTGAAGCCATTGTTCCGCGTCCTAGTCTATACTTGTAGTATAAATTATCTGTTAAGAGTTTTTTAGCATCTTCTGGAATGTCAGTTTAGGGTAGGGATGGAAAATGTGTGCTTCTCTGGAAGTCTGCTGGACTACATCACCCATTATCTCTCTAGCTACAAGATGAGAGTGGGCAGATGTTGTAGCCCAACAGTACCTGCACAAGTGCACATGCCCTACTCCTGTTCAACTACACCTCCCACTGACTACAACTATGCTTTCTTGATGCAACTTGTGGACCTGTAGATATGATTGAAATGTAGATCTGATGACCCCACACCATTGGCGATACTGCTGCAAAGTGTTGAGGGCTACAGCTGAACAACCCCTGAAGAACCTTAGTCCCCTCCTCCTGACCTCACAGATGGATCTGTACAGAATAAATGACAATTAAACCATGGTTATGGATACTGCCTGAATCATGACTCACTCTCATTAAGTGATTCCTGAGCTCCTGGCTTGGTAAGGAACAATGTGTCTTCACACAAAGGCACCACTACGTAACAGACATGCCACAGGTCCAGTGTCCCTCCCAGGCATTCTCCTTCCCACCTTCTTTTCTTGAGCCCTAAATGGCACTCGGACAAGCATTCCACCCTTGCAACTTTCCCACTCCAATGTTGGTTGCATTCTGCAACCACCTTCCACTCGCAATCATGCAAATGGTGGATTATGGCTTCAATATTACTGGCCTGGTTAAGAATGCAGAGGGTTAAGAATAGGAGGAAGAAAGGAATGAAATACAGAAACAACCCATTTCATGGCATTGGTTGGGTCTGGGTAGCAACTGGGATTTTTATGGACTCCAGGTTCTCATGACCCCATCAATGCTGGAGCGTCAGGCCTGGTAGAAAGGGAGACCAACATTGTTCAGCTCCAGAGCTTTTAACAATGATGTGGGACAGGAGGAACAAATGTCTGGCTTTCTAGATGTTCCTTAAACCCATCTCCCAGCAGCCACAGAAAGCATGAGCAATGGCAAGAGATTATAGGCTATGTAGTCCAACCATAACTGGAGTACGCAGCTTACATGTACTTGATGATAGAGGAGGACTACCTTCCTCACTTTGATTCCCTCCAGTTGTTTGGTTTACAACTGCCACCATCACTGACCATTGGCTTGGCTGGCTGGGGCTACTGGAAATTTTGGGGCACGATGCCGGGGAAAGCTGAAGTAGAGGCAAGCTCAAGAAGAAAAATAACTCAGTGAAGAGAAGTTCTCTTTCAGTCCACGCTCCTTGCCAACCCAGCTCAGGCCTTGCTCCTCTGTGCAACTCCAAAGTTGCCCAACCAAAAGAAAAATAAAACACTAAATCACAACTGGAAAGGGGCAGAGTCATAAAAAAGGAAAAGGGAACAGAAGAGGAGTCCAAACCTAGTTGAACAAAAAGGGATTCTTGGATCCTGGCCCCGGAGAGGGAAAGGGCTGTTTCTGTGTCTGCCAAGTGCCAGGGACTCGGGCCCACCAAAGGCGTATTTCCCAGCCAGCATTCCCAGCCACAACTATTGGTTGTCTCCTGGCTGGTACTGAGGCTCTGTGGCAGTGAAGTAGTCTTCAAGAAACGACTGGAGGTATTCAAAGGTGGGGCGCTCCTCTGGCTCCTTCTTCCAGCACTGCACCATCAGCTCATGCAGGGAGAGAGGGCAGTTCCCAGGGCACTGCATGCGGTAGCCCCGCTCCACTTGCTCCAGCACCTCCCGGTTGTTCATGCCTGCAGAACAGAAGAAAGAAAGGCCAGGGAGAGTTTTAGCACCTAGGCAGCACTCAGCGGAGGTATTTCGCTGCTATGCGAGGAACAGAACTTGAGAATAGTGTGTGATGAATCAACATTATCAACAACAGTTTTGAGTGTTCCCAGAAGACATCACAGCTCATCACAGAGTTTCATCTATGCTGATGATCGTGCCATTACTGCTCAAGCAGGGAGCTTTGAGATGGTTGAACAGAAGCTTTCCAAAGCTCTAGGTGCTCTTACTGCCTATTACAGGGAAAACCAGCTGATCCCCCACCCATCTAAAACACAGACATGTGCCTTTCATCTCAAGAACAGAGAAGCATCCCGAGCTCTGAAGATCACCTGGGAAGGAATCCCACTGGAGCATTGCAGCGCACCCAAATACCTGGGAGTCACTCTGGACCGTGCTCTTACCTACAAGAAGCACTGCCTGAACATCAAGCAAAAAGTGGGTATTAGAAACAATATCATACGAAAGCTGACTGGCACAACCTGGGGATCACAACCAGATACAGTGAAGACATCTGCCCTTGCGCTGTACTCTGCTGCTGAGTATGCATGCCCAGTGTGGAACACATCTCACCACACTAAAACAGTGGATGTGGCTCTTAATGAGACATGCTGCATTATCACGGGTGTCTGCGCCCTACACCACTGGAGAAATTACACTGCTTAGCCGGTATTGCACCACCTGACATCCGCCGGGAAGTAGCAGCCAATAGTGAAAGGACCAAGGCAGAGACATCTCCAGCTCAGCCCCTGTTTGGGTATCAGCCAGCACGTCAACGACTTAAATCTAGAAATAGTTTTCTAAGATCTACAGAGACACTCGCTGGAACACCTCAGCAAGCGAGAGTCCAAAAGTGGCAGGCTCAAACTCAGAACCTCAACCAATGGCTGATACCAAATGAGAGACTCTCAACTGGGCGACTTGGAAGGCGCTGAACAGACTGCGCTCTGGCACCACGAGATGCAGAGCTAACCTTCAGAAATGGGGGTACAAAGTGGAATCCACGACATGCGAGTGTGGAGAAGAGCAAACCACTGACCACCTGCTGCAATGCAACCTGAGCCCACATGCACAATGGAGGACCTTCTTGCAGCAACACCAGAAGCACTCCAAGTGGCCAGATACTGGTCAAAGGACATTTAATCAACTACCAAACTCACAAATTTTGTATTTTGTCTGTTTGTTTGCTTTGTTCTGTTAGAAATGTAATATAATTGACTGGTTGCCCTGACACGACAAATAAATAAAGAAACATCACAGCTCTGTTTCACCATTGCCTCACCACCAGCTACTTTCAGTGGGACAATGAGTTCTATGAACAGAAAGATGGAGTAGCTATGGGGAGCCCTCTCAGCCCGGTCATAGCTAATTTCTACATGGAACACTTTGAAAAACAAGCCCTGGAAACAGCAACCAAAAAGCCCATGATATGGTTCAGATGTGTGGATGACACTTTCACTATTTGGAGCCATGGAGAAGAAGAACTAAACAGGTTCCTGGACCATCTTAACAGCATCCACCCAAATATCCAATTCACCATGGAAAAAGAAAATGAAGGAAGACTGCATTTTCTAGATGTCCTAGTCATCCGCAAACCAGATCAACAATTGGGTCACACCGTTTACAGAAAACCCACACACACAGATAGATATCTATGTAAAAACTCCAACCATCACCCAAGTCAAAAAAGAAGCACCATTAAAGCCTTGGCAGACCATGCAAAAAGAATCTGCGAACCCCACCTCCTCCAAGATGAACTGAACCACCTCAACTGGGCTCTCCAGGCCAATGGATACTCCACCTCAGACATCAGAAGAGCTGCAAGACCAAGAACAAGCCACGAGAGTAAAGATGAAGATCCACCCAGAGGAAAAGTGTTCCTGCCATACATCAAGGGAACCACTAACCGCATAGGGAAGCTGATGAGGAAACACAACATACAAACTATCTACAGATCCACCAAGAAAATCCAACAAATGCTACGTTCAGCAAAGGACAAGAGGGATCCTCTCACTTCTGCAGGAGTCTACCGTGTACCATGCAGTTGTGGACAAGTCTACATAGGGACCACCAAACGCAGCATTGCCCAAACACGAATCAAGGAACATGAAAGGCACTGCAGACTACTTCAACCAGAGAAATCAGCCATAGAATGAACCAACCTGGACACAGCATTTTATTTGAGAACACAGAAATGCTGGACCACTCTCACAACCACCATGTCAGACTACACAGAGAAGCCATTGAAATCCACAAGCATGTGGACAATTTCAACAGAAAGGAGGAAATCATGAAAATGAACAAAATCTGGCTACCAGTATTAAAAAACTCTAAAATCGCAACAGCACAACAACAGAGAGGAAACAAACAAGGACATCTAATCACCTCTCAACAAAAGTTTGCTCCAGGCACAGTCAGGCCATTGTATGCTAATCAAAGTGGTCAGTTGAAACATTCACACCTAGCTCCAGCAGACAAGATTCCTTTGCCCCACCTTGGTCATTCCACAGATATATAAACCCTTTTTCCTAGTTCCAACAGACCTCACTACCTCTGAGGATGCTTGCCATAGATGCAGGCGAAACGTCAGGAGAGAATGCCTCTAGACCATGGCCTACAACAACCCAGTTTTGAATGTGCTTGTTGTAACCACTGAATGCCAAAGATATTCAAATCATTGGTGTAATTTTAATTTAAGCCCGCTGGTGGCACTGCGCGCCAAACTGCTGAGCTGCTGAACTTGTTGACCAAAAGGCAGTTCAAATCCAGGGAGCAGAGTGAGCTCCCACTGTTAGGCCCAGCTTCTGCCAAGCTGGTACTTCAAAAACATGCAAATGTTGAGTAGATCAATAGGTATCGCTCCAGCAGGAAGGTGACAGTGCTCCATGCAATCATGCTGGCCACATGACCTTGGAGGTGTCTACGGACAATGCCAGAAATTCAGCTTATTTATTTATTATTTCAAATATTTCTACCCCACCCTTCTCAACCCCCTAGGGAGGACTCAGGGCAGCTTCCAGCTGGCAACAATTTGATGCCTCTGTGTACATATAATAAAATACATAACAAAACCAATAATTATATATAGTTAAAACATTAAGTCAATACAATTAAAAAAACTACTAACAAATACCAGTCTGGTGGCCGTTATCTAGCCAAATTTTGTGGTTGGAGACTCCATTAAACTTATCCATAGTCCATTACTATAGCTATTGTCATCATTGCTATTGTCCGCATCGTTTCCCGAAGTGGAGATGAGCACCAACCCCCAGAGTTGGACACGACTAGACTTAATGTCAGGGAAAAACCTTTACCTTTTTAGAGGACACTAATGATCAACATAATATAATGAACTTGAGTATTTTTCTTAATAGTTTAACCTCAAGATTAACAAAGTAATTGTCTTTATTAATCTAACAATACTGTACGAGTATACTAACAGTAATGTTTCCAAACTTTGACTAGAAGGTGAGTTCAGGAAACTTGTGGCTCAGAATGTATTTATTCTACAAGCCAAAATCCTCCCAGAAGTTGGAATGACTGTCTCACCAGGGAATCCTGTACATTGTCTTCCAGAAGACATGGTGCCTGTTGAACTACATTTCCCCACAAGTTCCTCCCCCTGTATGAAAGAAGACACGGAGAAAGCCGTTTTACCTGGGTAGGGTACCCGCCCCTTGGTCACAAGCTCTGTCAAGAGGATGCCAAAGGACCAGACATCTGACTTGATGGTAAACTTGCCATAGAGAGCAGCTTCTGGGGCTGTCCATTTGATGGGGAACTTGGCACCTGACAGAAAGAGGGAGGAAGAAGACAACAAGGGATGAAGAGGAAGGGTGAGAAGTGTCCACAAGCTGAAGTCATTCTCTTATTCACATTTCTGCCTAAGTGTCAGTAGAATCAACAAAGCCAAATATTTTTAGTGCCAGAGGAGAGATGGGATTGCCAGGAAATTTTAAATACTTTCTCTCATTGGCATATACACTATGCTATCATACCCACAAGTTCAAGAAACAGGGTGCGTTTGAGGCCAAAAAATTAAAAGCTTTCCTAAAGCATCCAAGAATCTCTAGGATAGAGATCATCTACAGCCATCTGGCTCAACCTTCTTTAGTCTTGCACAGTGCTGATACACACACACACACACACACACACACACACACACACACACACACAGAGGAGACTCAGGGCAAATTACAATGTACATATACATGGCAAACATTCAATGCCATAGACACACAACAACTTATATAGACAGACACTCAGAGGCTATTTAACATTCCAGATTCTGGCCACCAGGGGAACTGTCGCTTCACCGTCCGTTTGTGACACTGATGAAGTACTTCCTCATTCTTTGCATACTTGCTGGAGATTTTTATGGCCTCATAAATTAGTTAAATTAGCCTCCCCACATAAGTGGTACCTAAATTTCCTACTTGACAGATGCAACTGTCTTTCGGGCTGATCTATGTCTCTATGATAAGCCAAGATGATGGGAGCTGTCTCCCTCGAGCTTATTTATTAGTTAACAACAACAACATTTTATTTTTCACCCGCCCTCTCTCACCAAGGGGACACAGGTGGCTTCCAAAGTAAAAATGGCAAATATTCAAGCCACTACAAAACATAATAGACAATTTACAGGCAATTAAATACAGATAAATTAAAAAATGTGATATAAAACATCTATACACATAATAAAAGTGAAAAATGTGCAAGTGTGTATGTGGTGGAGGTTTCCATTTGAACAGACAGCCTCCCACCTCCACAAACAGGCAGGTTATAGCGAGCGCCATGAACATGTAGTCCAAATGCTGCCAATGTCCTCCCCAAACACTACAGCCCACCATCCAAGGAATGCTTGCATTCGGGGAGAATTTCATTCTAAATTTGCTGTGTTTCCTCCACCACAGGCAGGCATCCCAGGGTTCCTTGTATGGAATTTACATTATGCCCATCCACTGCCTCTCCCTTCACCCTTTCCTACTCTTTCCTATGGCACACAGCAAACACAGAGGAATTGATCAGCAACTGAACAGACTGGAGGGGTCCAACAATGGACCAGGACCAAACTTGACACAGAGAAGCCCCATGACCAACTGAATATATTGCAGGAGTTTGGAGAAAATGATCTTGATTTTGGCAAGTGTAGTTCACCTGCATCCTGAGAGCACTCAACCCAGTTAACAACGGATCTTGGCCACACTTGGCACACAAGGCCCATCATGGCCAACTGTAAATACTGGCTGAGTTTGGGGGTGATTGCCATGGGAATCTGGGAGCTGTAGTTCACCCTTATCTAGAGAGCACTGAACCCAGTTGACGACAGATCTGGACCAAACTTGGCACACAGAGCCAACATGACAACTGTGCAAACAAACCTGGTTTGGGTAGGATTGGCCCGCAATTCTGAGAATTGTCGTTCACCCATATCGTTTTATATTTTCTGATGGGAGCATTAATTAAAAACAAAATCACATTCTGACTTTTCCCTAATAAATAGTGTTACTAATAAAATAAATGATATGACCTAACAGCCCAAAAAAACAATGCCTTTTTCAAATAACCCGGGCACCGCCAAGTACACCAGCTAGTATAATATAAAACATATAATAAAAGACAAAATTACACAGAATAAAATACATATCAAAATAGAGGTCACCATAATTTAAAATTACTTAAATTGTATTAATTTATTTAAATATGGATCCTATTTTGTTGTCCTTCCCTTCCCATCAGTTCACAGCTCTCCACTGTCCTGCTTCATCTTTATGACAGCCCAATGAAGAACATCAGACCATGGTCACCAATGAATTTTATAGAATCATAGAGTTGGAAGAGACCTCATGGGCTATCCAGTCCAACCCCCTGCTAAGATGCAGGGAAATTGCATTCAAAGCACCACTGACAGATGGCCATCCAGCCTCTGCTTCAAAGCCTCCAAAGAAGAAGCCTCAACCACACTCTGGGGCAGAGAGTTCCACTACTGAACAACTCTCACAGGAAGTTCTTCCTCATGTTCAGGTGGAATCTCCTTTCTTGTAGTTAGAAGCCATTGTTCCACGTCCTAGTCTCCAGAGCAGCAGAAAACAAGCTTGTTCCCTCCTCCCTATGACTTCCTCTCACATATTTATACATGGCTATCATGTCTCCTCTCAGCCTTCTTTTCTTCAGGCTATACATGCCCAGCTCTTTAAGCTGCTCCTCATAGGGTTTGTTCTCCAGACCCTTGGCTTGGTTCTCTCAACTCCTTGTTGATCACTGCACCATGCTGACCTTTGCCCAACAAATGTCCCATGTTGGAGGACCACTACTGAACCACTGAAATAGCTGGATATATATATATACCAATATACCACTTCACATCTCTTGAAAGGCCTAAAAGAACTGGAGCAACTGCCAGGCATAAAGGCGATCCCTGTCAGTCCCTGAGATCTTCAAGTGACTAGGTGATCCATGTTTTCTGCCAGAAACCCATGGAGAACTGTTGCTAGCAAGAGCAGATATTAGGTTAGGTGGATATTCAGTGTGACCTTGCTCTAAGGTAGCCCTCTTTGCTCCTTAAAGCAGGGATATACCACATTTTTTTCTGGTAAGTACCACATTGCTTTTGGCATGCAGATGGTAGATCAAGCTGAAGTGGATAAAACATGCGCTCAAAGTAGGAGAACCCAGCCCTTTCTTTTTCTCCGCCCCTCTTCTCTCTATGCCACCTTCATTAATGGGCTACCAGCAAAGGAAAAGAGCAAACACAGCATCCTAAATTAATCAGAAGGATTTTGAAATGAGTGAACAGGAGTTCATGTGGGATAGTTGCTCCTCCTGCTTAGATAGGTCTGTCCGAGAGCATACCTTGGCGAGCTGTGTATTCATTGTCTTCAATGAGCCGGGCCAGGCCGAAGTCGGCAATCTTACACACCAGGTTGTCACCCACAAGGATATTGGCAGCCCGCAGGTCCCGATGGATGTAGTTCATGCGCTCAATGTAGGCCATTCCAGCTGCAATCTTAATTACAGGGAGAAATAAGGATGAAACAATGACAAGGATGACTCAAATAATGCAGTTCTTCTATGTCCAATTGCTCAGGGGCTCCTTGTCATAGGTCGGAACGTGGCCCAGCTTACTTGTCCAAACGCATCTGCCTCTACATCCCACCTCGTAATTTAAGATCATCCGGGGAGGCCCTGCTCTTGCTCCCGCCAACATTGCAACGAGAGACGAGAGACAGGGCCTTCTCGGCGGCGGCCCCCCACCTGTGGAACGCGTGGGAGGCCACGCGTTCCACAGGGGACGAGAGACAGGGACGAGAGACAGGGCCTTCTCGACGGTGGCCCCCCACCTGTGGAATGCGCTTCCAAATGAGATAGGATCAGCTTCATCCCTCCTGGCTTTCAGGAAGAAATTGAAATCGTGGTTTTGGGACCAGGCTTTTGGACAATTAGATTTAATTAAAACTTTGGTTGGAAATTGACTGGAATGGCATGACAGCTGATTATACTGTTTATTGTTTTAATTAATGCTTTATGTACTGTTTTTAATTAATGTTTTATATATTTTAATGGTTGTCGTATTATTGTAATTGTTTATTTGTAGTGGTATCGAATCGCTACCAAAATGTAAGCCGCCCTGAGTCCCCCTTTGGGGGTAGAGAAGAGACGAGGTACAAATACCAAAAATAAATAAATAAACATGAGCTACTTAGGATGAATTTAGAGAATTATTTCCAGCAGCAGATTTGAGGCAGAACTAAGATGTTAGCATTATGTATTAACAGCTTGCCACTTGCCATCTAAGCTAACTTGCTTTCTTTAAATATGATGAAAAAGTCTGCCCCATTCTTTTAGATTACCAGAAAATGTGATGTTGAGTGAGTGGGCTTATTGACAAAAGACCCTCCTCATAAATGTATAGCAGAGTAACTTATTAGCAGCAGCATGACCCAGCACCAGTAGCCCAAAGTGATTCAAAGAACAAAAACACACAAACCACAGGCTTTTTTTTTGGTAATCAAATAATATGGCTACACTATTTACAATAATAACAAAGTTTTCACAACACAAATAAAGTCCTTTATTTTTAATATACATGTGTTATTGTGATAATTTAATGCTTATGTTGTTTTATGAATTTTATGTTATGCTGTTTACTTTGTATGTTTCGGTGATGTTACTTGGAAACCGCCCTGAGTCCCCCTCAGTATTATTATTATTATTATTTCCTTCTTTGCTTCCATGCTGGGCTTCTTCCTCATGCAGACAAACAGCTTCGCTCTCACAAAGCCTCCTCTCACACTGAACTTAGAATCATACAATCACAGAATCACTGAGTTGGAAGAGACCTCATGGGCCATCCAGTCCAACCCCCTGCCAAGAAGCAGGAAAATTGCATTCAAAGCACCCCAGACAGATGGCCATCCAGTCTCTGCTTCAAAGCCTCCAAAGAAGGAGCCTCAACCATACTCTGGGGCAGAGAGTTCCATTGCTGAACAACTCTCACAGGAAATTCTTCCTCATATTCAGGTGGAATCTCCTTTCTTGTAGTTTGAAGCCATTGCTCCACTGCATCCTAGTCTCCACGGAAGCAGAAAACATGTTTGCTCCCTCCTCCCTATGACTTCCCCTCACATATTTATACATGACCATCATGTCTCCTCTCAGCCTTCTCTTCTTTAGGCTACACATGCCCAGCTCTTTCAGCCACTCCTCATAGGGCTTGTTCTCCAGACCCTTGATCCTTTGAGTCACCCTCTTCATCTGGACACATTCCAGCTGGTCAACATCTCTCTTCAACTGCAGTGCCCAGAATTGGACACAGTTTTCCAGGTGTGGTCTGACCAAGGCAGAATAGAGGGGTAGCATGAGTTTTCTGTTCTAGACACTATACTCCTATTGATGCAGGCCAAAATCCCATTGACTTTTTTTGCCGCCGCATCACATTGTTGGCTCATGTTTAACTTGTTGTCCACGAGAACCCCAAGGTCTTTTCCACACATACTCTTCTTTTTGGTAAAGTTTGGTGGATGACCTCCTCAGAAAACTAGATGGGGGAGTGTGTCTCTGCTGGTTCTCCTAGACATCTCAGTGGCTTTTGATACCATTGATCATGGTATCCTTCTGGATTGGCTCTCTAGAATGGGTCTTGGAGGCATTGCGCTGCAGTGGCTCTGCCCCTTCCTGGAGTATCATACCCAGATGGTGATGCTGAGAGACACCTGCTTGGATTCCTGGCCTTTGACCTGTGGGGTCCTGCAAGGTTCTCTTCTTTCTCCCATGCTTTTCAATATCTACATGAAATACTAGGTGAGGTCATCCAGAGTTTTGGTTGTCCATGAGGACTCCAAGATCTTTTTCACACTATAGTAGAGCTTCACACAGTAGCAGCTTTTATACTGGAGCTTTAAACATGAGGCTTTACATGCAAGGCCTTCAACCTGGAGCTTCTCTCACTGAAGCTTCTCACACTAGGCCGTCACACACTTGGTCTTCTCATAGACTAAGGCCTATCTCACACTGTGAGCCTATCTCACAGACAGAAACCTTTCTCCCACTGAGGTTTACCTCACACTGATGGATACTAAGCTACAGGCACTCCTGCTTTTATGGAACTGCAGCTTTTACTGTTTCATTGCATCCATTTAACCCTTTCAGTGCTTGACTAACATTTTTGTCATTAACAATACCTAGTTAATTTTTAATATTTCTGACATGTGAAGGGGATAAGACTTGTTTTTTTAGCTTTAGAGAGCAAAATGTCTTAGGCCAGCCCTATAGAAACACTCTGCTTCAAACTCCCCTACAGCAGATACGACAGCAAACCTATTTCATATGCTTTGGATTAAAAAGGAAAAGGGGTTCATTTATGTTATTTAAGGTAATGAAAGAGTTCATTATTGCACATCGGTCAGTTAACTATAATGACAGCACTGTACCTAGGTGCTAACATCTAATTCCACTACAATCAATGGAATTTACTCCCAGGAAAACAAACACCGACATTTACTTCAGTCAGATTTGCCTATTAGACTGCTGCAGCAAAAACAGAGAGTAAAGTGTTACCAGATAAACTATTGAGAATACACTTTAACTGATAAGATAGTGATTTAATCAAGTGTGAAAGGAGACCTATTTCCTTATTATTTGTTTATAATTTCAATGACATTCTTAATTCAGAAAATAATTGGCCATCTTTTGCCTGCTCCCAGTTACCTGGGCTGGTCGCTTCTGTGGTGAGAGAATCAGCCGTCTACGAAGACGTTGCCCATTACAGGGAAAACCAGCTGATCCCCAACCCATCTAAAACACAGACATGTGCCTTTCATCTCAAGAAAAGACAAGCATCCCGAGCTCTGAAGATCACCTGGGAAGGAATCCCACTGGAGCATTGCAGCGCACCCAAGTACCTGGGAGTCACTCTGGACCATGCTCTGACCTACAAGAAGCACTGCCTGAACATCAAGCAAAAAGTGGGTGCTAGAAACAATATCATACGAAAGCTGACTGGCACAACCTGGGGATCACAACCAGATACAGTGAAGACATCTGCCCTTGCGCTGTGCTACTCTGCTGCTGAGTATGCATGCCCAGTGTGGAACACATCTCACCACACTAAAACAGTGGATGTGGCTCTTAATGAGACATGCCGCATTATCACAGGGTGTCTGCGCCCTACACCACTGGGGAAATTACACTGCTTAGCCGGTATTGCACCACCTGACATCCGCCGGGAAGTAGCAGCCAATAGTGAAAGGACCAAGGCAGAGACATCTCCAGCTCATCCCTTGTTTGGGTATCAGCCAGCACGTCAACGAATTAAATCTAGAAATAGTTTTCTAAGATCTACAGAGACACTCGCTGGAACACCTCAGCAAGCGAGAGTCCAAAAGTGGCAGGCTCAAACCCAGAACCTCAACCAATGGCTGATACCAAATGAGAGACTCCCTCCTGGGCACACAGAGGACTGGGCGACTTGGAAGGCGCTGAACAGACTGCGCTCTGGCACCACGAGATGCAGAGCCAACCTTCAGAAATGGGGCCACAAAGTGGAATCCTCGACATGCGAGTGTGGAGAGGAGCAAACCACTGACCACCTGCTGCAATGCAACCTGAGCCCTGCCACATGCACAATGGAGGACCTTCTTGCAGCAACACCAGAAGCACTCCAAGTGGCCAGATACTGGTCAAAGGACATTTAATCAACTACCAAAATCACAATTTTCGTATTTTGTCTGTTTTTTTGCTTTGTTCTGTTAGAAATGTAATATAATCGACTGGTTGCACTGACACGATAAATAAAATAAGTTACCTGGGCTGCCATGTCCACCAGTTGTGGCAACTTCAGGAAACGACCATCCCCGTCTTTCAAAAAATCCAGCAAACTCCCTGTGGAAGGAAGAATCAGGAGATCATCAAGGCAGGCACTTGCGAGGATCCCATCCCCATGTCCTACCTTCAGTACCGTTTCCTCTGCCTCTTTCATTGTCTGCTCTGCATTCGTCAAAGGGAAATCTTCCCTGACTATCAAGTGACAAAACAATGACGTGCAAGATGGGATCCCTACGTTGGGACTAGCCTTTTCCCGGTTTTATGCTAATCTAACAGGGATGGATTCTACTCTGAAACTAAATTCAGACTCCCCAGGGTTCTGCTTCAGTCTTGGTTTCCCTGAATGGTTACATCCTCTTCCCTGTGGCATTATTACTTACTACTAGCTGTACCCGCCATGCGTTGCTGTGGCCAACCTTCCCTCTTTCTCTTCTTCTTTCACTCCTTCCTTCACTCCCTCTTTCCTTCTTTCCTTCCCGTCTTTCCTTCTCTTCTTCCTTCCTTCTCTATCTCTTTCCTTTCTTCCCCCTTTTCCTTTCTCTTCTTCTGTCTCTCTTAAGGATTGAAGGAAAAGAAATTTACTCTACATCTTCCCCCTTTCTTTGCTCCCTCTTTCCTTCCTTCTTTTTTCCTTCCTTCCTTCCTTCCTTCCTTCCTTCCTTCCTTCCTTCCTTCCTTCCTTCCTTCCTTCTCTAACTTTCCATCCTTCCCCCTTTTTCTTTCCCTCCCTCTTTCTCTCCTTTTCTCCCTCTCTGCCTCTTTCCTTCCTTCTCTCCTTTTTCTTTCTCTTCCTTTCTTCCTTCCTTCCTTCTTTCCTTCCTCCCTCCCTCTCTTTCTTTCTTTCTTTCTTTCTTTCTTTCTTTCTTTCTTTCTTTCTTTCTTTCTTTTTCTCCACCCCTTCCCTCCCCTTCTTCCTTTTTCTGTATTATCATTTAGTTTTTCGTCATTTAGCTTTTGGGGGCTTTTAAAGTCCCTTCTGCTGTGTTTTTCAGTGTTTTTATGAGTGAAGGACATACATTGGGTTGTTAGGTGTATTGTGTCCAAATTTGGTGTCATTTCCCCCAGTGGTTTTTGAGTTCTGTTAATCCCACAAACAAACATTACATTTTTATTTATATAGATTATCCCAACTTTTGCAATTTTATCCTCATTTGAAAAGGTCAAATGGCATTCCAAATGCTTAGAATTATAAAGTTGAAAGAGATCCCAAGGGCCACCCAGTCCAACCTCTTGTCATGCAGAAAAAGCACAATCAAAACACCCCTGACAGATGACCATCCAGATTTACACTAAAATACACAGATATTGGGTTGCTGGGAGTTTTCCGGGCTGTCTGGCCATGTTCCAGAAGCATTCTCTCTTGATGTTTCGCCCACATCTATGGCAGGCATCCTCAGAGGTTGTGAGGCCTCTTGGAAAATAGGCAAGTGAAGATTATATATCTGTGGAATAATGACCAGGGTGGGAGAAAGAACTCTTGTCTGTTGGAGGCAAGTGTTAATGTTTCCATTGGCCACCTTGATTAGCATTGAATAGCCTTGCAGCTTCAAAGCTTGGCTGCTTCCTGCCTGTGGCGATTTTTTTGTTGGGAGGTGTTAGCTGGCCCTGATTGTTTCCTGACTGCAATTCACCTGTTTTCGAGTGTTATTCTTTATCTACTCTCGTGATTCTAGGGTTTTTAAATACTGGCAGCCAGATTTTGTTCGTTTTCATGGTTTCCTCCTTTCTGTTGAAATTGTCCACATGCTTGTGGATTTCAATGGCTTCCCTGTGTAGTCTGATGTGGTTGTTGTTCAAGTGGTCCAGTATTTCTATGTTCTCAAATAATATGCTGTGTCCAGGTTGGTTCATCAAGTGCAAGGTTTTTCAATGCTAATAAAGGTGGTCAATTGCAACATTCATACTTGCCTCAAATAGACAAGAGTTATTTCTCCAACCCTGGACATTCCACTTGCCTAGTTTCCAACAGACCTCACAACCTCTGACGATGCCTGCCATAGATGCAGGTGAAACGTCAGGAGAAAAAGCTTCTGGAACATGACCATACAACTCAGAAAATTCACAGCAACCTAGTGATTCTGGCCATGAAAGCCTTCGACAACACGTTGTTGTTCATTCGTTCAGTTGTCTCTGACTCTTCGTGACCTCAGGGACCAGCCCACGCCAGAGCTCCCTGTTGGCCGTCACCACCCCCAGCTCCTTACACAGATATTATTTGTAGGTTGTGGGAATGCTACCGTTGTGCTGAAAAAGGTTCTCACACTGGGATTGAAAAGGTGCTGGGACTATCCAGACATCAGAACTATGTTGTGGGGAAAATGAGAATTTAAACTAGAACATAAAGTTGTAGATACTACTACACCAGGCATGGGCCTGAATGAAACAACTGAATGAAAGAACAACAACCAAAACTCTGTCCCCGGATTTTATTTGCATTGAAACTGTTGAGTATAGACCAGGCATGGGCAAACTTTGGCCCTCCAGGTGTTTTGGACTTCAACTCCCACAATTCCTGACAGCCGATAGGAAGTTTGCCCATGCCTGTACTAGCCATGGTGCTTTTTTTGTTGGCGCTGTTGTGAATTATGTTCTCAGATTACATTTTGTGCTTATCCCACTTCAAGTATTTCCCCAACAGAACTGTGCCTCCTGCACACCTAGACCTGTGCTTGCCCCCTGAGCAGCCCCAATGACAGGGAAATGAGAAAGCCATGTCATACCTTGGCTCATAAACTCAGTGACAATGTAGATTGGCTCTTCTGAGACCACGGCATACAGTTGCACCAGCTTGTCATGTCGTAGGCGCTTCATAATTTGGGCCTCTTCAAGGAACGCTTCTGGAGACATGGTACCTGGCTTCAGTGTTTTCACCGCAACTTTGGTGGTGCCATTCCAAGTGCCTGGAGCCAGCCAGAGGAATAAACAGAGTCAATAACAAGATGGGGAGCCGGAGACAAAGTGCATTGCATTTCCCATCCCTCCCTACCCACCGTCCCATATGAAAATGGAAATGGGTGGAGGAAGCTGGCTGGATCGGAAACAGAAATGATCAGAAATTGTGAGATGTTTGTAAGAATGGAAACCTTCATGGTGAAGAAAACTGTGTACACCAGACCATCAAACTGAAGAGTGAGCATTTGCACATGTGTCCTTCCCAACATTAAATACCAGGACTGTGGTGCAGCTGGCTGGGAGTCAGCTGCATTAAGAACAGTACTGACTGAGAGGTCATGAGTTCAAAGCCAGCCTGGGTCGGAGTGAACTTCCAGCCAATTTGTGTAGCTTGCTATTGACCTTTGCAGCCCGAAAGAGTTGCATCTGTCAAGTAGGAAAAATTAGGTACCACTTAGGTGGGGAGGCTAACTAATTTATGAAGTCAGAAAAATCTCCAGCAAGCATGCAGGGAATGAGGAAGTACTTCATCAGTGTCGCAGACGGTGAAGCGACAGCTCCCCTAGTGGCCAGAAAAACTTCTCTGTCTGTTTATATGTGTTGTGTGTCTATGGCAGGGGTCCTCAAACTAAGGCCTGGGGGCTGGATACGGTCCTCCAAGGTCATTTACCTGGCTCTCACTCAGGGTCAACCTAAGTCTGAAACGGCTTAAAAGCACACAACAACAACAATCCTATCTCATCAGCCAAAAGCAGGCCCACACTTCCCACTGAAATACTAATAAGCTTATATTTGTTAACATTGTTCTTCGTTTTAATAATTGTATTGTTTATAAGATATGTGCAGTGTGCATAGGAATTCATTCATGTTTTTTTTTTTCAAATTATAATCCAGCCCTCCAACATTTTGAGGGATTGTGACCTGGCCCTCTGTTTAAAACGTTTGTGGACCCCTGGTCTATGGCATTGAATGTTTGCCAGTATTGTATTGTATTGTAATCCGCCCTGAGTCCTTTGTGGGGTGAGAAGGGCAGAATATAAATACTGTAAATAAATAGAATAAATAAACTTTGCAAATACTTATATTGTATCTGGAAGGGACAAGTCTTTCCCCAAAATAGGAATGGAGAATCTAGCCATGCCAAGTCATGCACTCAATGTAATCTGACCTACAGAAAGCCGTAGTTACCACGCCTTCAGGGCAAGCCGTTTAAGTTTTGTGCCAGGTAAGTGAAGGATACACACAGCCCCTTGTCTTACCCAGCCACACATCTCCAAAACATCCCATGCCAAGCTTCTTGTCAAAGTGTATGGAGCTGTGCATGATTTCCCATGCGTCCTTAGACAGTCCCATAGTCTGGGGCTTCAGATTAGGGCAGGTCTTGGTTAGTAGGTAGCAGAGGCCATCATTGTACTCTGGAGAGAAGGATGAGGGATGAGATGGGATGGGTTGAATGAGAATAAGAGAATGAGATGGAAAAGGAGTGATGAATTCAGCATGCACCTTCAAGAATGGCAGCTGTGGCCCAGGAAGGAGGAAACGGATGAGCACAACACAGACCCAGATCATACAGCTGCAATGTTTGTTTTGGCCACACGATAGAGCTTTCGGCATACTTTTACCAAAGCATTTAAAGCAATGTTTCTCAACCTTCCTAATGCCAAGACCCCTTAATGCAGTTCTTTATGTTGTGTTGACCCTCAACTATAAAATTATTTCCGTTGCTACTTCATAACTGTCACTTTGCTACTATTATGAATTTTAATGCAAATCTCTGATATGCAGGATGCATTTTCTTTCATTGGACCATATTTGACACAAATACCCAATACGCCCAAATTTGAATACTGGTGGGGTCGGGGGGTCGGATACTGATTTTGTCATTTGGGAGTTGTAGTTGCTGAGATTTATAATTCAACTACAATCAAATGGCATTCTGAACTCCACCAACGATGGGATTGAACCAATCTTGGCACACAGAACTCCCAATACTGGAAGGGTTTGGTGGGCATTGACCTTTACTTTTCGAGTTGTAGTTCACCGACATCCAGAGAGCACTTTGGACTCAAACAAGGATGAATCTGGACCAAACTTGGCATGAATATTCCATATGCCCAAATATGAACACCGGTGGAGTTTGGGAGAAATAGACCTTGACACTTGGGAGTTGTCGTTTCTGGGATTCATAGTTCACCTACAATCACAGCAGAGGAGGGCTTTTGGTGGGAGGACTCGCTGTCTGTTTCCAAAAAGGAAGAGAAGGACAGATGGAGAGATCTTCATCCTTCTATGCCAAAGGGGTTCCTAAGACCACCAGAAATATGTGTCTTCTGATTATCTTTGGCGACCCCTATGAAACCCGTCGTGACCCCCCAGGAGGTCCCAACCCCAGGTTTAAAGCTTTTTTCTCAAGGGAAGTTACAAGAGCATTTATAGCTTGGTTCTCAAGGGAAGTTGCTTTTCTGTTGCTGATGGAATCAACGGTTTTTTATTGCCCTTTGTCCCCAATCCCACATTGCCAAGAAGGGGAGCAGCCACTCTCTGCACTGAAATGTCATCTTAATTCACAACAGAAAGGACAAAATGTAGGCCTGTGCCTTTAACATCAACATTTTACTTCTGTTGTATAGTTTCTAACATCCTTAGCTGACGAAGAAGCCAGTGAAGTTTCAAAGGTTTGCATGAGGCATTTGTGCATTTTGGCTGTCCAATAAAGATGGATTTTGTTTTTAGTTGCATTTTACAATTGCAGTTAAGTGACCAAATTTCTTTATTTTTTTTATAGTTATGTACAGGGCTTTGAAAAATTATTTAGGACTAGCGTTGCTGTTGCCCAGTCTGGTGATCTGGAAAATAAAGTAATGAGAAAGTGTTGGTTTCTAATATATGCAATTTCTTTATGCTTGTGGGTAAACAGTATTTCTTCTTGTTTCTTTGTCAATGTTGATGTGGAGATTGTCTGGTTTGCCTAATCTGGAATATGCAACATATAATTGTCCTTCTTTAGGGGTCCCTTTCAAATCTATGATACTATATCTGTCATATGCATATATGTGTGTGTGTGTGAATCATATCTATCTATCTATATTTATGGCTGGATGGCTCTTTGTCAGGAGGGCTTTGGTTATGTTTTCTTGCCCTGGTGAAGGGAGTGGGACTGGATGGCATTAAGGCAGCATTTTTCAACCTGGGGGTCGGGACCCCTGCGGAGGTCATAATGGGGTGTCAGAGGGGTCACCAAAACCATCAGAAAACACAGTATTTTCTGTTGGTCATGGGGGTTCTGTGTGGAAAGTTTGTTTCAATTCTATCATTGGTGGGGTACAGAATGCTCTTTGATTGTAGGTGAACTATAAATCCCAGCAACTACAACTCCCAAATATCAAGGTCTATTTCTCCCAAACTCCATATGTGTTCATATTTGGGCATATGAAGTATTTGTGCCAACCAAATGCATCATTGTTTGAGTCCACAGTGCTCTCTGGGTGTAGGTAAACTATAACTCCAAAACTCAAGGTCAATGCACACAAAACCCTTCTACTGTTTTCTGTTGGTCTTGGAAGTCCTGTGTGCCAAGTGTGGTTTAATTCCATCGTTAGTGGAGTTCAGAATGCTCTTTGATTGTAGGTGAACTATAAATCCCAGGAACTACAACTCCCAAATGGCAAAATCAATTTTTTTGAGTGAAGGACATACATTGGGTTGTTAGGTGTATTGTGTCCACATTGGATGTCAATTTGTGCAGTGGTTTTTGAGTTATGTTAATCCCACAAATGAACATCACATTTTTATTTATATAGACTAGCCGTCCCCTGCCACAAGTTGCTGTGGCCCAGTCTTGTGATCTGGAAAATAAAGTAATGTTAAATTGTTGGTTTCTAATATATGTAATTTCTTTCTGCTTGTGGGTAAGCAGTATTTTTGCTGTTTCTTTGTCAGTGTTGATGTAGAGATTGTCTGGTTTGCCTACTCTGGAACATGCAACATATAATTGTCCTTCTTTAGGAGTCCCTTTCAAATCTAGGATACTATATCTGTGTGTGTGTGAATCATATATATCTATCTATATCTATGGCTGGATGGCTCTTTGTCATGAGGGCTTTGATTACATTTTCTTGCCCTGGTGAAGGGAGTTAAGTATTTTCTGTTGGATATGGGATTCTGTGTGGGAAGCTTGCCCCAATTCTGTCGTTCGTGGTGTTCAGAATGCTCTTTGATTGTAGGTGAACTATAAATCCCAGTAACTACAACTCCCAAATGTAAAGGCCTGCTCTATTTCCCCCAAACTCCATTTGTGTGCATATTTGGGCATATGGAATATTTGTGCCAAGTTTGGTCCAGATCCATCATTGTTTGAGTATACAGTGCTCTCTGGGTAGAGGTGAACTACAACTCCCAAACTGAAGATCAATGCCCACCAAATCCTTTTAGTGTTTTCTGTTGGTCATTGGAGTTCTGTGTGCCACATTTGGTTCAATTCCATCATTGGTAGAATTCAGAATGCTCTTTGATTGTAAGTTAACTATAAATCCTAGCAACTACAACTCCCAAATGACAAAATCAATTTTTTGAGTGATGGTCACTCGTTGACCTGATAGGTGTCTTGTGTCCAAATTTGGTGTCAATTTGTCCAGTGGTTTTTGAGTTATGTGAATCCAACAAACAAACATTACATTTTTATTTATATAGATTACAATTCCTAGAATCCCCCAGCATACCCCTGCTCTCTGGGGGATAATAGGGGTTGTATTCCAAAGAGTAACATTTTCCAGCTCCGGCAATGCAGAAGAGTGAGCTGGGGGAAAGTTCAAATTGGCCTGACATAACTCCCCCATGCTGAAAGATTTTCCGCGAGGCCCCCTCCCTGCATTGGCACTGGGCCTGCCTCCTTCCTCTTCCTCCTTCCTTTACAGCTCAGCTTTCCCAGTTCTTGCAGCCAGTCCTACCCATCCACACTTCCCCAAACTGCCCGTTGCCCAGTTTCTTGATGAGCTGCAGCGATTCCCGTGGGATCTCCCAAACGTCTTTGGTTTTGACCGAGAGGTCTGCCAATTTGGGCATCCCTTTGTGGCACGGCACAGCCAGGCGGCAGCACAGCCCCGCAGCTCTCTCTTGCAGAAGGAAACCCCAGGCACCAGAGGCAGAGAGGGAGGAATGATTTGGAAGAAGGAAGGAAGACAAACAGAAGGCAGAATTAAAAGGCAAGAAACACATTTCTCAGAGAGAGGGGAAATATTCTTTATTACCACCAGGTGGCAGTTGAAATACTTTGCGATTTAGATATCAACAAAGATGATAATGGGTTGATTTGAGTTTTTCGGGATGTATGGCCATGTTCCAAAAGCATTCTCTCTTGTCATTTCACCCACATCTATGGCAGGCATCCTCAGAGGTTGTGAGATCTGCTGGAAACCTAGGCAAGTGGAGTTTATCTATCTGTGGAATGTCCAGGGTGGGAGAAAGAACGCTTTTCTGCTTGAGACAAGTATGAATTTGCCCCCTTGACTAGCATTGAATGGCTTGCAGTTTCAAGGCCTGGATGGTTGCTGCCTGGGGGAATCCTTTGTTGGAAGGTGTTGGCTGGCCCTGATTGATTCCTGTCTGGGAATTCCTGCTTTTTGAGTCTTACTCAAAAAGGATTGCTCAGGCAGCAACTTGAGAAGAAGAAGAACGGCCTGCCTCAGGGGAGCGTGCTTGCTCCATCCATGTTCAACATTTACACAAATGACCAAGCACTGCCAGAAGGACAGAGAGTTTCATCTATGCTGATGATCGTGCCATTATATAGATTACAGTCCTACCCATCCACCTCAGCAAGCGAGAGTCCAAAAGTGGCAGGCTCAAACCCAGAACCTCAATCAATGGCTGATACCAAATGAGAGACTCCCCCCTGGGCACACAGAAGACTGGGCGACATGGAAGGCGCTGAACAGACTGCGCTCTGGCACCACGGGATGCAGAGCCAACCTTCAGAAATGGGGCTACAAAGTGGAATCCACGACATGTGAGTGTGGAGAGGAGCAAACCACAGACCACCTGCTGCAATGCAATCTGAGCCCTGCCACATGCACAATGGAGGACCTCCTTGCGGCAACACCAGAGGCAATCCAAGTGGCCAGATACTGGTCAAAGGACATTTTATCAACTACCAAGCTTGCAAACTTTGTGTTTTGTCTGTCTGTTTGTTTGTTTGTGTGTTTTGTTAAAAATGTAATACAACTGTCTGGTTCCTCCTGACACGATAAATAAATAGCAGAATGGGGTTGGACTGGACAGCTGACGAGGTTTCTTTCAATTCTATGATTATTACTGGATATGTTTGTTTTGTTAAAAATGTAATACAAATGTCTGGTTGCTCCTGACACGACAAATAAATAAATAAATAGGCAGCAACCCGCCAGGCCTTGAAACTACAGGTCATTAAATGCTAATCAAGGTGGAAAACTGCAACATTAACACATACCTCAAGCAGACAAGAGTTCCTTCTTCCACCCTAGACATTCCAGACATATAAACCACTGCTGCACAGAACTTTGCAACATTGTAGGTTGTAACTAATTCACCTACAACCTACAATGATGCAAAGTTCTGTGGAGCAGCATACAAAATCCGTCAGGGGATGACTAGTCCCAAAAGTTAACTGTGTGTCCAGTAATCATCTTCCCTGAATCTACAATTTGGTGATGGATCTGGGCATTGTATGATTTTACCCTGTTTCCCCCTCCGCTCCCTCACCCACATTGTGCTTCAGGAGTTATATTTGTATTTTTAATGTACTAAACGTACCAAGTTTGTATGAAAATGTGATTTCTATTTCCTGTGCTGGTCTATGACCGAAATAAATGATTTGATTGATATAAACCACTCTTACTTAGTTTCCAACAGACCCCTCAACCTCTGAGGATGCCTGCCATAAATGTGGGTGAAACCTCAGGAAAGAATGCTTCTGGAACATGGCCATACAGCCCAGAAAACTCACAGCAACCCATTGATTCTGGCCATGAAAGCCTTCAACAACACTAAGATGACAATGATAGGCAATCAGCATTACAGACAGTCCCTGGGTTACAAACAAGATAGGTGTAGGTCTTGATCTTAAGTTGAATTTGTATGTAAATGAGAACAATGTATTGTCGAAGGCTTTCATGGCCGGGATCACTGGGTGTTGTAGGTTTTTTCGGGCTATATGGCCATGGTCTAGAGGCATCCTCTCCTGGTGTTTCGCCTGCATCTATAGCAAGCATCCTCAGAGGTAGTGAGGTCTGTTGGAACTAGGAAAAAGGGTTTATATATCTGTGGAATGACCAGGGTGGGACAAAGGACTCTTGTCTGCTGGAGGTAGGTGTGAATGTTTCAGCTGACCACCTATAATGGCTTGACAGTGCCTAGAGCAAACCTTTGTTGAGAGGTGATTAGATGTCCTTGTTTGTTTCCTCTCTGTTGTTGTGCTGTTGCAATTTTAGAGGTTTTTTTTAATACTGGTAGCCAGATTTTGTTCATTTTCATGGTTTCCTCCTTTCTGTTGAAATTGTCCACATGCTTGTGTGTTTAAATGAGAACAGATACAGCTATCTATATCCATAGCTATATCTACGAGAGTGAGTCAAAAAGTTTTGCCTCCTCTGTCATAAAAACTTTATGAATGAACATATAACAGAAGAAGCTGCTACAGATCATAATCTACTGTACACATTTGTGCCATCGTTCAACCCTGGCATCAATTGGCCACCTTGATTAGCATGGCCTAGCAGTTTCAAGCTCTGGCTTCTTACTGCCTGGGGGAATCCTTTCTTGGGAGGTGATTAGCTCCCAACAAAGGAGCTAACTGGATTAGCTCCCAACAAAGGCGCTGATTGGAAATCTGGTATTCCCCTATTTTTGAGTGTTGTTCTTTATTTACTGTTATGATTTTAGAGTTTTTGTTAATACTCAGGTAGTAAGAAGCCAGAGCTTGAAACTGCTAGGCCATTAAATGCTAATCAAGGTGGCCAATTGCAACATTCACACCTACTTCAAATAGACAAGAGTTCTTTCTCCCACCCTGGACATTCCACAGATATATAAACCCTATTTTCCTAGTTTCCAACAGACCGCACAACCTCTGAGGGTGTCTGCCATAGATGCAGGTGAAACGTCAGGAGAGAATGCTTATGGAACATGGCCAGACAGCCCAAAAAACTTACAACAATCCAGTCACTGCTAACTTTTCTGCAGAACTGGACCAAGTCTTGGATAGCTTGAAAATGGCACACTCACCCACCAAAGTAAAGGGGCAAAGCACCCCAAAGCCCCCGGTGGTGAAGAGTTAAACCCCTGTGCCGGCAGGACTGAAGACCGACAGGTCGCAGGTTCAAATCCGGGGAGAGGCAGATGAGCTCCCTCTACCAGCTCCAGCTCCTCATGCGGAGACATGAGAGAAACCTCCCACAAGGATGATAAAATATCAAATCATCCGGGCGTCCTCTGGGCAACGTCCTTGCAGACGGCCAATTCTCTCACACCAGAAGTGACTTGCAGATTCTCAAGTCTCTCCTGACACGACAAAAAAAAAGAACCCAAAAGCAGCCAATTAATTTTCCCAAGCTCTTGTTTTTAATTAAATATCATATGTAGAAAGGAGAGTAAATATCCAGCTATTAAAACATTGCTGAATCCTTTTGCCTACATACACAAACAAGCATGCAGACATACACTGCAATTAGCATTAGGAATATGCTAATTTTCCTAATGCATTTGCTCCTTAGTTCCTAATGCTAATTTCCTAATCCTAACTGTTGCATAAGGGAGAAGCATTTTTATCAATGGCGTGGCTTAATGCTCCCCAAGCACTGCATTTTGAAGAACACGTGTGATGCCATCCTTTTAATCTTCACAAAACACACAGTACTGTGAATATAAAATCTACGGTAGTTTAACCCTTGCGGGGAGCAGCTCTCTGCCATTGCAAACACAGGGCCTTTGGGAGGTTACTTTAAGATGCCTGAAACGGAACCTTTGAACCTCTGCATACAAGGCCAAGACTGTGCAATTACCCTTTTCGATAACACACCCCTTGCAAAAATTCAGTGTAACCTGAAAGATAATTAACAGCCCTGAAAGGACCAGGTGGAGATTAGCCCTGAAGTTCTGTGTTTTTGTTGCCACTCTCTCAAGAGCTAGTTCCCAGCCACTGAAAAGTGTCCTTGTTTTACCTATATAATGCTGGACCAGTTGCTGCACCGTATCAAACTGGGCCCGTGTGGTGATATAGTAACCTCCGTTGTCCAGCTTCCGGATTTTATAATGCTTGATGTGGTCACCTTTCACTTCGTCCCAATCCCGAATGGAGAGAGAGTAGGCACCTGGGAGGAGGAGACCAAAGAACAGAGGTGAATCTGTTGGAAATCACAACCAACTGTTTGTAAATGTGTATAATTGTTAACCTATATTGTATGTACATTTTGGTTTGCCATTTTGACTATACCTCTTTAGTGTGGAAGGGGCTTCAGACACAGCATTCCATTTTGTTTTCAGTTTTCATCAGACCTCAGTGGAGGTGGATGCATGTTGCTCTTTGGACTTTAGTACACTATGCTCAATGGAGGTGGGTTGCAGTTTGTCTCCTTTCAGACTTCACTGAGTACAGTTATGCAATTTGGACTATATCTATATGCTTAAAGACATTAAACTATGGACTAATATGCTGAATATATACAAGAAGTTTGTTAGCAAACCTGAGATGTTATTTTTAAAGAAGACTATGTTTTTGTCTCTTGAATGCGTATTTTAAACTAAGAGATTTTAAGAAAGTGTATATCTTTTGGGCAACTGCAACTTCAAAGAAACAACAATCCTCTGTTAACCAATATATTTTTGTAGTGGCATGTCTTTATCCTTGGCAGTTTAAAGACATGGTTCTTCAGTTTAACAGTCGAGTTACCTGTGTGCCATTACATGAATGCTTACAGAATCATAGAATCAAAGAGTTGGAAGAGACCTCATGGGCCATCCAGTCCAACCCCCTGCCAAGAAGCAGGAATATTGCATTCAAATCACCCCTGACAGATGGCCATCCAGCCTCTGTTTAAAAGCTTCCAAAGAAGGAGCCTCCACCACTGCTTCCACTGCTGAACGGCTCTCACAGTCAGGAAGTTCTTCCTCATGTTCAGATGGAATCTCATTTCTTGTAGTTTGAAGCCATTGTTCCAAGTCCTAGTCTCCAAGGAAGCAGAAAACAAGCTTGCTCCCTCCTCCCTGTGGCTTCCTCTCACATATTTATACATGGCTATCATATCTCCTCTCAGCCTTCTCTTCTTCAGGCTATACATGCCCAGCTCCTTAAGCCGCTCCTCATAGGGCTTGTTCTCCAGACCTTTGAATATCACTTGCTCAAAGAATTGACTTCTAACAAGGTCATGCTTTTCTTGACTATTGGTTTTCAAAAGGTGGACTCCACATATTCATGGAGATTCACATTTGCCAAATGGACGTGACATCATTTTTACCTTTTCAATAAGGTTATGGTGTAGCTATTTCCAATAGGTAATGGAATTTCCAATAGAATCAGTATGGATGTATAGAACATTCGCATATTTTATGTTACAGTATTGTTATGGCTGTGCTTATGGGCTTTCGAGTGAGGCTTATGGTAAGCGTGGGTCAACTTCGGTCCTTCTGGTGTTTTGGACTCCAACTCCCACAATTGCTAACTAGGAATTGTGAAAGTGGGAGTCCAAAACACCTGGAGGGCCAAAGTTGGCCCATGCTTGACTTAGCAGCTTTCGATCCCATCGACCACGGTATCCTTCTGGGTCGGCTCTACTTTGCAATGGCTCTACTCCTTCCTGGAAGACCGTATTCAAATAGTGATGCTGGAGGACACCTGCTTGGACACCTGGCCATTCACCTGTGGGGTCCTGCAAGGTTCCATTCTTTCCCGCATGCTTTTCAACATCTACATGAAACAGTTGGGTGAGATCAGTTTGGAGTTGGATGCCAACTCTACACAGATGACACACTACTACTCTTTTCCACCCCATTCCAAGGAAGCTCCCCAGGTTCTGGACCGGTGCCTGGCAGCTGTGATGGACTGGATGAGAGCCAACAAGCTGAGGCATAATCCAGACAAGACAGAAATCCTCCTGGCCAGTCTGGGGACACAGATCCACAGGTCCCCCTGAGGGCACAGGTCCACAATCTAGGAGTCTTTCTAGATTCAGCGCTGACACTTGAAGCTCAGGTGCCAACAGTGGCCAGGAGGGCCTTTACACAGTTAAAACTTGTGTGCCAGTTGCGACCATACCTCGAAAAGCCTGACTTGGCCATGATGGTCCACGCCTTAGTTACATCTAGACTGGACTACTGTGACACACTCTACATGGGGCTGCCTTTGAAGATGGCCCGGAAATTGCAATTAGTGCAAAGGTCAACTGCCAGATATTTGGGAAGTGTCCGAAGTGTAATCAAATACAAAAGCCAGCATAGTGAACTTGTTTGATGTGTACTAATCTTGTTGTGTATCAAATAATAATAATAATAATAATAATAATAATAATAATAATAATAAACAACTTCATTTGTATCCCACCCTATTTCCCCAATGGGGACTCAGTGCGGCTAACAACATATAACGGCAATATTCAATGCCGTATAATACAACCAGCCAATAAATACGACATAACATAAATTTAAAAAATGACACAGTAAACCTTAAACATAAGCAATAACAAGACATTGCCACCAAATTAAATGAACACTAAAATTAAAATCTAACTCAACTAATATAGCAAGACTAAAAAGTTTTAAAACATTTTCAAAGATGTAAACCCAAAGAGTTCTTGTTTCTGTCTCCTCTCTTGGTTTAAATTTGGTTACTGGACACAGAAACGAAAACATATATAGTATAATATGCCAGAAGATGGCAGTGTACAACAATTTTTGTGTGCCTTCAAGTGGTTACCAATTTACAGTTAAGGCAACAGTACCCATCCTCTGAAGATTTCAGCCACAGATGCAGGCAAAACGTCAGGAGTAAATGCTGCCAGAACATGGGCATACAGCCCAGAAACCACGCAACATACTAAACTTTATTATGTAAGTATCTGGGGGTGGCAGAACAGGCACCAACAAAAGTAACACTGCCAGCTATTCTCAAGATATATGAAGCCTTTCCCTTCTGTTCACGTATCTTGTTGACTTGTTTGATCTTTCTTGCTTCCAGTCAAAGTAGCATCTCCTTCCAAATGTATCATCACAGCAGCCCTGTGAGGTGTGTCAGGCTGAGAGTTACTGCTCCATAATCACCCAGTGGGTTTCATAAACTTCACAAATCTGAGAACCTGACTTTCCCAAGTCCCAATCCAATTCTTTCATCCTTATAACACACCAGATCTCTAAGGGTACTTCCAAACAGCATCAAAATGTGGATTAAATAAGTGGGTTTAAAAATCATGAAACCTAACAGCAAATCCAGACACAGACCTGTCTGTCCCGGGAAATGCAGCCCCACCATCCTCACACCTTTCTTTGAAGCGGATTTTACAAAACTGCAAGATGGACAGGGGACATCTGGTCAAAGTTTTCTTTTAAAATTCTCTCCAATATGCACTGAACCTCAAATGCGCACATGCGGAGATCCCAGTGTACACACAAATAGATTTCCTATTTTCTCGCTTCACCCAATCATAAATTCAAGGTCTGTTTAATATTATAAACATTAGAGTAAACATTAGAGGGTCCTCAAACTAAGGCCCGAGGGCTGGATATGGCCCTCCAAGGTCATTTACCCTGCCCTCGCTCAGGGACAACCTTATTTATTTATTTATTTATTTATTATTCAAACTTATATGCCGCCACTCCCCTAGGGCTCGGAGCGGCTTACAAAACAAACTGGAATCTAACACAAATTAAAACAACAGATCAAAGGTCAAAAACTTGTTGAAACAAAGGTCAAAAGCCTATTGAAACTTAAGTCTGAAATTACTTGAAAATATACAACAACAACAATCCTATCTCATCAGCCAAAGGCAGGCCCACACGTCCCACTGAAATACTAATAAGTTTATATTTGTTAAAACTGCTTCATTTTAATTGTTGTATTGTTTTAAAGTGTTTTTTGCACTACAAATAAAATACATGCAATGTGTAAAGGAATTCATTCATGCTTTTTTCAAATTATAATCCGGCCCTCCAATAGTTTGAAGAACTGTGACCTGGCCCTCTGTTTAAAAAGTTTGAGGACTCCTGGAGTAAAGGAATGGTTGTGGTGACTTCTAATTGTGATTGCGTTCCACCTCTGCTTCAGTTAACCACTTGTGTGTCTATTTTTTGACAGTCCGATCAGCTGTTTTGGGCTTCTAAAATGCGCACATGCACTGGAGCAGTCCACACCAGGGGATCCACATGTTTTCCATGACTGCAGAAATAAACAGTCATGCAAAGATGCACATTTTTTGGTTGGAATCATGTTTTAAGTGCACCTTTTAAACATCTGTTTTTCAGCTGTTAACCTGAATCTGCCCACACTTTTCCCAGATATCATTACCCCCCCCCCCTTTATCCCGGTTAAATGGTAAATGTTTATGCGTTGTGTATGCTTTGCTTCTATTTTGCTGTAATATGTTGTCTGGGCTTGGCCCCATGTAAGCCGCTCCGAGTCCCCACTGGGGAGATGGTGGCAGGGTATAAATAAAAATTATTATTATTATTATTATTATTATTATTATTATTGGTAAAGGTTTCCCCTGACATTACGTCTAGTTGTGTCTGACCCTGGGAGGTGGTGCTCATCTTCATTTCTAAGCCAAAGAGCCGGCGTTGTCTGTAGACACCTCCAAGATCATGTGGCCAGCATGACTGCATGGAGCACCATTACCTTCCCACAGAAGCAGTACATATTGATCTACTCACATTTGCATGTTTTCGAACTGCTAGGTTGGCAGAAGCTGGGCCTAACAGCGAGCGCTCACCTTGCTTCCTGCATTCAAACTGCCAACCTTTCGGTCAGCAAGTTCAGCAGTTCAGTGGTTTAACCCACTGCAACATGAGGGGGCCCATTATCCCGGTTACTTCAGTGTTTTATGGCATGTGTAGAAGGGCCCTAAGTATCCAAAAATGGATTTTGAAGTGACTTTTAATCTACAAACAGCCCTTCTCCTCCTTGATGATTAAGGGCAAGTGAGGCTTTACCCCAGTATCATGCCTCTCCATGTGGTCTCTGCCCAATTCATTCTGGATATCTTACAAGGAAAGACACCATTCACAGAGGCATCTACTATTTAAATAGCTATGCTGAACATGCACCAGATGTTGCTGGAAAACACACAATTCTCGGGACAGAAACTGTCCATTAATCACACTGGACCCACTTCTTGTATACAGTGCTGGAACACAAGCCAAATGCTATATTCTGTCACATTTGTGGGAGGAAATCCCCTGAGATAGGTGTTTCCCTGCGCATCAGGAGAGAACCAATTCCAATGCCGGAGATGCCCAAGAAAAGGCCCTCCTTTGGTGCCAAAGAAGCAAGTGGGCAAGTGTTGCAGTGTTACCTTTGGTCGTTTCACTCTCACGAATGAGAAACGTCCCCCGTGGGTTGCCATGGCACAAGAGCTGCCTCTCAGCATCCTTGCGACCAATTTTCCCAAAGTACCACCTGTGAAAAGAGATGCAGAAGTAATGTTCTTGAGAGAGAAAGAGAGAACGCCCCCACCATAGCGGGAGTCAAAAGTAAATATCTGAGTAATACTAAGAAGCAGAGAAAGGGAAAGAAGGCGTTTGAGCTAAAATAGACAAATACGATTTGTATAACAGTTTTGGGAGGCAGTCTGGTTTTCAGAGGTTTGAGTGTTGAACTACAACCTTGGAGGCAGAGTTTAGTTCACCACCACAGAATCCCACCCAGGAAAACTCCATGATAAGTTCACCTTAGAGTACTCATAAGGTGAAGGCACAGAACAATAATAACATAATAGCTTTAGTGGAAAAAAATTAACTCAAGGAGGAGCCAGAGCTTGGAAAAGGTACTCATTTGGGCTACCTTCGCAGTAGGTTGGCAGTTCGAAGCCGTGAGTCAGGGTGAGCTCCTGACTGTCAGCCCTAGCTTCTGCCAACCCAGCAGTTCGAAAGCATGCAATGTGAGTAGATCAGCGGGAAGGTAAAAGGGTGCCTCATACAGACATGCCAGCAACACAATTGGAAGTGTCTAAGGATGTGTATGCTACTGGAGTAAAACATGGATTTGTACATTAATTTCAGTCCACCAGAGGAAGGCCTGAGGTAGGCCGAAACCGGTCGTGGTCGGCTGATCCACAAGCTACGTATAAGAAGATACGACTGTACTAAAAATTTGCACCATATTGTTTGTTGTCGCTGTGAGGTTAACAGTGCAGCATGTTTATATACTGTTGTTGAATTACATCATTGTTTATGTTATACAAGTGGTATTTTTGTTGTATGCATTTCATTGAGGAACCCATCTATATTATAGTACAGGTGTCTAAGGACAACAGGCTCCTCGGCATGGAAAAATGGAACAAGAGCACTCCCCCCTGGCCGATGTTGAGCATTGCCTCCAGATGCCAGAGATGGAAAAAAGGGGAAGGCTTATACCTTTGTCTGTGTTGTATGTCATTGTTCGCTGTGTGTAAAAGGCATTGAATGTTTGCCTCATATGTGTATTGTGATCCACTCTGAGTCCCTTCAGGGAGATAACGCAGAATATAAATAAAGTATATTATTATTATTATTTGAAACACATCAAGATTTGTACACAGCAAACAAGATCACTATGCTGGTTGTTATATTGGATCACATGTTGGACACTTCTCAAGTGCCTAAGACAGTGTGATGTATTGGCAAATAATGCGTGCAGATCCCAGTAGGGTGGCCTTTTGCAGCTGACAGATGGTAATTTTGTCAGCACTGTTTGTGTTTAAGTGCAGGCCAAGGTCTTTAGGCACTGCACCCAGTGTGCCGATCACCACTAGGACCACCTTGACTGGCTTGTGCCAGAGTCTTTGCAGTTTGATCTTTAAATTCCCGTATTGTGTCAGCTTTTCCAGTTGTTTCTCTTCAATCCTGTTGTTGCCTGAGATTGCAACATCGACAATTCATATTTGGTTTTTTAATACAACCGTGAGGTCAGGAATATTGTGCTCCAAAACTCTGTCAGCCTGAATTCGGAAGTCCCAGAACAGTTTGACGTGTTCATTTTCTGTACCTTTTTCCGGCTTGTGATCCCACCAGTTCTTTGTTGCAGGCAGATAGTATTTGTGGCACAAGTTCCAATTAATCATCTGAGCAACAGTGTTATGTCTCTGTTTGTAGTATGTCTGTGCGATCTTCTCTCAGCAGCTGAAGGTGTGATCTATTGTTTCATCTGCTTCATTGCAGTCTACACTTGGGATCTATCATTGACTTTTCAATTCTGGCTTTGATGGCATTTGTTCTAATGGCAATAATAATAATAATAATAATAATAATAATAATAATAATAATAATTTTAAAAAATCACAGTCTTAGACGCTTGGGAAGTGTTCAACGTGATTTTTTGATACAAAATCCAGTATATAGATCTTGTTTGCTGTGACATACTGTGGTTTTGTATCAGTATAATAATAATAATAATAATAATAATTATTATTATTATTATTATTATTATTATTATTATTATTATTGCTTCTAGAATCCTCCAGCCAACATGAAGAGAGTCCCAAGTTAAACTTCCACCAGTTAGGTGTTAAGTATTTAAATTCAGGAGAAACGTTATTCTTAAGACAGTTGCTGAAGGTCTCGGACAGTGGGGTCTTCCTGAGCTGGATGGAGGCCTCCTCCTCTATCCATACAGCATAATCTCACTCCTTGGCACCCCAAATGCATTGTGACATAGAAGGAGAACTTCCTTCTGCATCAGTTTTCTGTTCTTGGCAAAGAATATTTGCAAAACTCCACAAGATCCCTTGCACAGATGTCCCACTCCATCTCCAGCAGACTTCCAAGCCATCCAAGCTGCCCATACTTACTCTTCTGCCTGAATAGAGTCCACAGGTGCCACGTAGTTGCTGGGGATGTACCCTGTTGATCCTGTGCTCAAGGACCTTGCTTCCCACCAGTCACCCTCTCTAAAAAAACAGGTGGAAAAAGAAAGAAAAAAAGAGTTCATTAGGAAGTTTAGTTGGAGAAAGGAGCACAGGTCAGCAGCAGAGTCAGGCTTTTGCAAGGAAAAGGTCCTAGTTTCAATCCCAGCACCTCCAGTTTAAGAGATCAGACACTAGCTGATGGGGAAAACCTATAATGTAGTAGTTCTCAACCTGTGGGTCCCCAGATGTTTTGCCTTTAACTCCCAGAAATCCTAACAGAAGGTAAATTTTCTATGATTTCTGGAAGTTGTAGGCCAAAACACCTGAGGACCTACAGGCTGAGAACCACTGATCTAATGGGAATGGGAGACCCTGGAGAGCTGCTACCAATCACACTGGACTGTGCTGGGCTACCCTGGGCTGAGAAACTTTGACTCCCCCATCAGCTCTCAGCATAGCTAATGGTGAAGGAGAAGGAAGTCTGGTCATTATAATGATACATTATCCTTTCATATTCTTTGGAAACTGTTTTATATTGGTTTGCATTGCACTGATTAGAGACTCTACTACAGACATGGGCACACTTCAGCCCTCCAGGTGTTTTGGACTTCAACACCCACAATTCCTAACAGCCTACCAACTGTTAGGAATTATAGGAGTTGAAGTCCAAAACACCTGGAGGGCCAAAGTTTGCCCATGCCTGCTCTACTATATTCAGCAATCTATAACAGGGGTTTCCCAGCTAAGGCCCGCAGGCCAGATGTGGCCCTCCAAGGTCATTTACTTTATCCTAAACTCTAGACTTAGGGTCACCTGAAGTCTGGAATAACTTGAAAGCAAACAACAACAACAACAACAGAAGTCGATGAGAGATCCAGGAGAACCAGCAGGGATACACTACTCCTGTCCAGTTCTCTGCAGAGGTGGTAGTTCTCTATCAAGGTGACCAAAGCTGTCTCCGTTCTGTGACCAGGCCTAAAACCAGGGTGAGAGGGATCAAGATAATTGGTTTCATCCAAGAATCCCTGGTTTTGAGAAGCCATCTATGAAATGTTGACAAGTATGCCATAAAACAGGGGTCCTCAAACTAAGGCCCACAGGCAAGATGTGACCCTCCAAGGCCGTTGACCCATCCCAGCCCTAAACTTTAGACTGAGGGTCGCCCTAAGTCTGAAATGACTTGAAGGCATACAACAACAATAATAATCCTATCCCACCAGTCAACTTGACTATTAGCCAAAAGCAGGCCCACACTTCCCACTGAAATAAGTTTATGTTGGTTGAAATTGTTCTTCAATTTAGCTATTGTATTGTTCTTGCATTTTCTTTATTGCACTACAAGACAATTCAGAGGTACTCCTGGTCAGTCGTAAGGCAGATCAAGGTGTGGGATTACAGCTTGTGTTGGATGGGGTCGCACTCCTCTTGAAGACACAGGTTTGCAGTCTGGGGGTGATTCTGGACTCATCACTGACCCTGGAACCCCAGATGTCAGCGGTGGCCAGGAGCACCTTCGCACAGCTAAAACTTGTGCGCCAGCTGTGCCCATACCTTGAGACGCCTGACTTGGCCATGGTAGTCCACGCCTTAAGTCACATCCCGTTTGGACTACTGCAACGCTCTCTACATGGGGCTGCCTTTGAAGATAGTTCGGAACCTTCAAATGGTCCACAGATTAGCAGCCAGGTTACTAAGTGGAGCGCCGTTCAGGGAGAGAACCACTCCCATGTTGCAGTAGCTCCACTGGCTGCCAGTCAGCTTCTGAGCTAAACATAAAGTGCTGGTTCTTATCTTTAAAGCCCTATATGGCTTAGGTCCAGACTATTTGACAAACCGTATCTACCTGTAAAGACCAACTCGGACACTGCAGTCATCAGAGGAGTTCCTCCTCTCAGTTCCACCCCCACCTCTGGTGGGAATGAGAGAAAGGGCCTTCTCCGTGGCTGCCCCCCACCTCTGGAACTCCCTTTCTAAGGAGTTAAAGATGGCTTCCTCCCTCCCCCCTTTCAAAAAACAGCTGAAGATATACCTTTGCTCACTGGCTTACAAGAAGGAGGAATAGTAGTTGGTAATATTACCATTATATCTCTGACTAATAGTTGCCATCCGTATCCATGCCCTGCTCACTCCACCAGCTCAACAGATATCTTGAGCAATGATTAATCGATTTGCCCCAAGGAAATGGTAAATTATTGTTTCCATTTGATGTTTGATGTTCTGTCTCATGACTGTTATAATAGGCTGTGCTTTTGATATAATTTTAGTTTGTTAAGTTATAATTCGTATTTATATGTTGGGTTGTATAAATTTTGTTAGTATGGATGTATTGTTGTATTCGGTCATTGAATGTTTGCCTTTTATGTTTGGAATCCGCCCTGAGTCCCTTTGGGGAGACAGAGCGGAATAGAAATAAATTATTGTTATTACTATTATTATTATTATTATTATTATTATTATTATTATTATTAGCCGCCCCCTCCCACACGTTGCTGTGGCCCAGTCTGGTGATCTGGAAAATCAAGTAATGAGAAAGTGTTTGTTTCTAATATATATAATTTCTTTATGCTTGTGGGTAAACAGTATTTCTTGTTGTTTTTTGTCAGTGTTGATGTGGAGAGTGTCTGGTTTGCCTACTCTGGAATATGCAACAAATCATTGTCGTTATTTAGGTGTCCCTTTCAAATCTATAGTAATATATCTCTCTGTGTGTGTGAATCATATCTATCTATATCTACATCTATATCTATGGTTGGATGGCTCTTTGTCAGGAGGGCTCTGATTACATTTTCTTGCCCTGGTGAAGAGAGTTGGACTGAATGGCCTTAAGTATTTTCTCTTGGTCATGGGGGTTGTGTGTGGGAAGTTTGCCCCAATTCTCTCGTTCGTGGAGTTTAGAATGCTCTTTGATTGTAGGTGAACTATAAATCCCAGTAACTACAAATCCCAAATGTCAAGTTTTATTTCACCCAAACTCCATCTGTGTTCATATTTGGGCATATGGAATATTTGTGCCAAGTTTGGTCCAGATCCATCATTGTTTGAGTCCACAGTGCTCTCTGGATGTAGGTGAACTACAACTCTCAAACTCAGGGTCAATGCCCACCAAACCCTTTTAGTGTTTTCTGTTGGTCATGGGAGTCCTGTATGCCAAGTTTGGTTCAATGCCATAATTGGTGGAGTTCAGAATGCTCTTTGATTGTAGGTGAACTATAAATCCCAGCAACTACAACTCCCAAATGACAAAATAAAAAAAATTGAGTGAAGGACATACACTGGGTTGTTAGGTCTACGCTGTCCAAATTTGGTGTCAATTGGCCCACTGGTTTTTGAGTTCTGTTAATCCCACAAACGAACATTACATTTTTATTTATATCCATCATTGTTTGAGTCCACAGTGATCTCGGGATGTTGGTGAACTACAACTCCGAAACCAAAGGACACTGCCCACCAAACCCTTCCAGTATTTTCTGTTGGTCATGGGAGTTCTGTGTGCCAAGTTTGGTTCAATTCCATCATTTGGGGGGTCCCAGCAACTACAACTCCTAAAGTGAAGGACATACATTGGGTTGTAAGGTGTATTGTGTCCAAATTTTGTGCCAATTTGTCCAGTGGTCTTTGAGTTCTGTTAATCCCACAAACGAACATTACATTTTTATTTATATAGATGATGATGATGATGATTATTATTATTATTATTATTATTATTATTACAAATAAGATATGTCCAGAGTGCACAGGAATTTGTTCATTTTTTTTCAAACCATAGTTCGGTCCCTCAAAAGTCTGAGAAATTGTGACTCGACTATTGTTTAAAAGTTTGAGGACCCCTTGTCTATAAAGTAATAATAATTATTGTAGGTGCAGTGGTACCATGGTCAGTGGTGATAATAATGACACAACTGGTGCAAAACACCTCTCCCCACACGGTGAGTCACTTGTAGTTCTCATATTACTAATTGCTTCACTTTGAGTATTTCCAGGCTATTATTACTCCAAGTAAGTGGCTACACAAATCGTCAAAAATGTGAATATTCCTCCCCAACATGCTCAGGAGATTTAAAAATTATTTGTTTCCTTTTTATCCTGCCACCTTCCCCATAGACCATGATGGAGGCAATGTACACATTAGGTTGGGTTTCTGGTCTGATGCTCTCCAATTCAAACCAAATGCAGACTTGCTCGGCTTTGGCACGGCTGCCACACAAAGTGCCTCACGGCCACTGGACTCACGTATTGTTGATGATGTGAAATTTCTCGCCCTTCGCAAATGTCAGATCATCCTCAGTTCTGGCTTCATAATCATACAAGGCAACGAAAAGAGTCACTCCTCCACCTGCAAGGCACCAGCAGAAGAGCAGTGAGAAGCCAGCAAAAGCTGTAAAGACGCAATGTTAACTGATGAGAAACTAAGCTAGAGGTGACCCAGGTTTGACCCTCTCACTCATCACTACTTTGTTTTTTCCATAAATAGCCCTCAGTATGTGTCACTGCCACTTGGGCTGGTTGAAAATGGTTGGACCTGAATTTCATATCGGTATGAATCATAGAATCATAGACCTGGTGGGCCATCCAGCCCAACCCGTATAGACTACTGCAACGCTCCCTACGTGGGGCTGCCTTTGAAGACTGTGCGGAAGCTTCAAATGGTCCAACGGGCGGCAGCCACGTCACCCGATTTTTCACATTCCACTTTCTTCTTCCATTTGTTATTATAGGCATTAGCATTATTCACCTACTTTTTCTTCAGGATCTAATAATCCCACAGGAGTACAATCTAACTCAGACAAAATCCCATTCCACCCATACTTTTCTTACAAAGACCTCCTTGGAGTGGCCCTAATAATTATGGCCCTCCTAATACTAGCCCTATTTTTAGCAAACTTGCTAGGAGACCCAGAAAACTTCACCCCAGCAAACCCACTAGTAACACCGCCACACATTAAACCAGAGTGGTACTTCTTATTTGCCTACGTTATTCTCCAATCCATCCCAAACAAACTAGGCGGTGTAATAGCACTACTAATATCAATTTTAATTTTAGCTTTAGTTCCAACACTACACACATCCAAACAACAAAGCAACACATTCCGCCCACTATCCCAAGCGCTCTTTTGAGCCCTAATTTCAAACGGGTTTGCCATGCTATTGGTAGTTTTTATTTATTTTTCCTTTCACGTCGCATTTCCAGTGGAAGAGACCTAAATGGTTCTGGTCCAGCTTATCTGTCCGAACATATCTCTCCTTATGAACCATCTAGGACGTTCAAATCATCTGGGAAGGCCCTGCTCTCAGTCCCACCTTCTTCAAAGATTCAGTTGGCGCGGACGAGAGACAGGGCCTTCTCAGTGGTGGCCCCTCGGCTGTGGAACACCCTCCCAAAGGACATTAGATCGGCCCCCACCCTCTTAACATTTTGTAAAAAAGTCAAAACCTGGCTTTTTGAGCAGGCTTTCCCAAATGCAGTGTAGCAGACAAACCCTGATCTTGGAACGACTGGACAATGTGATTGGATAATGATTTTGGTAATGAGTCGCGGAGGATCTATGTTTTTATCGGTTTTATTATTTACTGAATTTTATTTATGCTACATGTTTTAACTGTTTTTATGTTATTGTGGGCATCGAATTGTGCCGTTTTGTAAACCACCCTGAGTTGCCCTCGGGCTGAGAATGGCGGTATAATAAATATAGTAAATAAATAAATAAATAAACCCCTCTCTGCCAAGAAGCAGGAAAATCGCTTTCAAAGCACCCCTAACAGATGATCATCCAGCCTCTGTTTAAAAACCTCCATAGAGGGAGCTTCCACCACACTCTGAGGCAGAGAGTTCCACTGCTGAACAGCTCTCACAGTGAGGAAGTTCTTCCTAACGTTCTGGTGGAATCACCTTTCCTGTAGTTTGAAGCCACTGTTCTGTCTCCTAGTCTCCAGGGTAGCAGAAAACAAGCTTGACCCTCCTCCCTATGACTTCCCCTCACATATTTATACCTGGCCATCATGCCTCCTCCCATGCCGTTCAGTTGTGTTGGATTCCCAACATCTCTGGCTGGTTGAAGTATTGATAATTATCATGTGTTCCACCTATAGAATCCCTTGATTTGAGGCTGATTTGAGGAACTGAAGGCATCCCAAAACACCTGATAAAAGTAGGAAAGTAGTAAAGTGGGCATGGGCAAGCTTGGGCCCTCCCTCCAGGTGTTTTGGACTTCAACTCCCACCATTCCTAACAGCCTCAGGCCCCTTCTTTAAGCGGCTGAGGGGGGAAAAGAACGGGCCTGAGGCTGTTAGGAATGGTGGGGGTTGAAGTCCAAAACACCTGGAGGGAGGGCCCAAGTTTGCCCAGGCCTACAATAGAGGCACACACACTTTATCCTTAATGCCGGACTGCCATCCATCCCAGTTCCAGATCTGGTGTACAGACAAACCTGTGATCCCAGTTCCAGGCATGTGCAGAGAAGGAGTGGGGTATACGCCGGAGCCCCCCATGAAGGCAGGTGTGGAAGGCCTTGGCGTTCCTTGGAAGTTGTTGAAGTCAGGGATGCATGTAAAAGTGTTGGGGGCATTCTGCTGGGCTGGATCAGGATTGTAGCAGGAGCTGGGAGGTGGGTTAGGCGTTCCATCGCCACCATTACTCTGGGTCTTATTTGTCTTCTTTTTTTTGCATTGCACACAACCCATTGCTGGGCAGCACTGGGGACGGGGAAAAGAAAGAAACAAAAGGAAAGGAAATGAACAATGAGGTACCAGGGCAAGGAACATAGCATCCTCCTTGCCTTTTGGACTACAAACCCCAGCATCTGCAAACATGAGACACACTAGAGGTGGCTTATATCAGTGTTTCTCAACCTTCCTAACACCATAAAATTATTTTCGTTGCTACTTCACAACTGTAATTTTGCTACTGTTATGAATCTAACAGCGTTCCATGCAGTCATGCTGGCCACATGACCTTGGAGGTGTCTACAGACAACGCTGGCTCTTCGGCTTAGAAATGGAGATGAGCACCACACCCCAGAGTCAGACATGACTGGACTTAATGTCAGGGGACTACCTTTACCTATGAATCTATTAAAATCTGATATGCAGGATGCATTTTCATTCGCTCAACCAAATTTGGCGCAAATACCTGATATTGTGCTTCTCAACCTTCCTAATGCCATGACCCCTCAATACAGTTACCCATGTTGTGGTGACGCCCAACCATAAAATTATTTTTGTTGCTACTTCTCAACTGTAATTTTGCTAATATTGTAAACCATAAAATCTGATATGCAGGATGAATTTTCATTCACTCGACCAATACCTGATATTTATTTATTTATTTGCAGTATTTATATCCTGCCCTTCTCACCCCGCAGAGGCCTCGGGGCGGATTACAATACACATGGCAAACATTCAGTGCCATAGACACACAACGTATATAGACAGACACAGAGGCAATTTAACATTCCAACTTTTCATGAGGGTATTCTGGCTACCAGGGAAGCTGTTGCTTCACCATCCATTTGTGACACCGATGAAGTACTTCCTCATTCTTTGCATGCTTGCTGGAGATTTTTTATGGCATTGTAAATTAGTTAAATTAGCCTTCCCGAGTAGGCGGTACCTAAATTTCCTCCTTGACAGATGCAACTGTCTTTTGGACTGCAAAATTCAACAACAAGCTACACAAATTGGTCAGACACTCACTCGGACCCGGGCTGGCTTCGAACTCATGACCTTTCGGTCAGTAGGGATCTTAATGCAGCTGATGTCCAGCCAGCTACACCATATACGCCCAAATTTGAATACTGTTGGGGTTGGGGGGATTGATTTTGTCATTTGGGAGTTCTAGTTACTGCGATTTATAGTTCACCTAAAATCAAAGAGCATTCTGAATTCCACTAATGATGGAATTGAACCAAACTTGCCACACTGAAGTCCCATGACCAACAGAAAAGACTGGAAGGGTTTGGTGGGCATTGACCTTGTGTTTGGGAGCTATAGTTCACCTACATCCAGAGAGCACTGTGGACTCAAACAATGATGGATCTATACCAAATTTCAAAAAGAAAAATGGGTTCCCCTGAAACTGTGGAGACCAAAATCCACTGATAGTGGTGATATGAAAATAACTAAATTAACTCAATGTATATATTACAAATACACATATCAAAAACTGCCACATACACATAAGTAGAAACAATTGGTTCTTCTCTTGAAGTATAAAGCAAAGTCTTCGTTTGAGAAAATGTCCTTTCTTTATTACATGTGAGTAGACTCCAGTAGTCACATGAATTGACTCCAACCTGCTACCGGTTTCGACTCACAAGAGTCTTCGTCAGGCGGTTGGGTTCAAATTATCAAAAACAAGCTCAACTTTTAAGGTGAGAAATTCGCCACAGAATAAAACTCCTTGCAGAGTGCACTGCTCAACAAAGAATAGTTGATTCACCCCACCAGGAGACTGTTGGTGAATTTCTCACCTTAAAAGTTGAGCTTGTTTTTGATAATTTGAACCCAACCGCCTGACGAAGACTCTTGTGAGTCGAAACCGGTAGCAGGTTGGAGTCAATTCATGTGACTACTGGAGTCTACTCACATGTAATAAAGAAAGGACATTTTCTCAAACGAAGACTTTGCTTTATACTTCAAGAGAAGAACCAATTGTTTCTACTTATGTGTATGTGGCAGTTTTTGATATGTGTATTTGTAATATATACATTGAGTTAATTTAGTTATTTTCATATCACCACTATCAGTGGATTTTGGTCTATACCAAATTTGACACGAATACTCAATATGCCCAAATGTGAACACTGGTGGAGTTTGGGGAAAATAGACCTTGACATTTGGGAGTTGCAGTTGCTGGAATTTATATTTCACCTACAGACAAAGAGCACTCTGAACCCCACCAATGATAGATTTGGGCCAAACTTCCCACACTGAACTCCCTTACCTTGAAGGGACTTGCTGATGCAAGCCTCTCTCCAGCCTCGCACGCTCTCCCTTGCCTGCACATGCACACCACACTGCCATGCACCAAGCATGCCTGCTCTCCTCTCCCCACTTGGAGTCTCAGAAACAACCCTCCCCATTAGGCCTGTGCGATTTGGTTCGTTAATTCGTTAATTCGTTAATAATTCGTTAATTTTACCATTTCCGAAGCGATATTGAAACAAATCTCCAAACCCGGAAGGGTTTATAAATATCGAACCAGCAGCCCCCATAGTATTTACGAGCCTCCGCTCGTTTCGTTAATGGGGTGGAGGCTGCTGGAGTGCTGGCATGGGAGCCAATCCGGCGCTCCCAAGCAGTGCACCATGGGTCCGTGGCTGTCTCTTTTTGATTGGCCGGCGAGCCCTTTCAAAGCGGCTCCGCGCGGCCCGTAGCTTGGTGCAGAGGCGAGGGCGAGGGAGTTTGCATTGGGTTGGCTTGGCAATGGCTGCCTGCTAGCAACGAACTGGGATTGGATTTATTCCTTGCTGCTGTGAGTGCTGCTTGCTTCATTTGCTGTCTCTTGCCTGTGTTTGGTCCACATTTGGGCCATTTTTTGGTTAATTGTCCATTTTAAAATATTTTAATATTATTTTTAATATTATTTTTAATATTATTTTAATATTATTTTTTAATATTATTTTAATATTATTCTTAAAAAATATTCTAAAAAAGAAAAGACTCTTCTGTTGGTGTGTGCTCTCATTTGCTGTATCCTGCCTGTGTTTGGTCATTTTTTGGTTAATTTTCCATTTTAAAATATTTTTAATATTATTTTAATATTATTTTTAATATTATTCTTAAAAAATATTCTAAAAAAGAAAAGACTCTTCTGTTGGTGTGTGCTCTCATTTGCTGTATCGTGCCTGTGTTTGGTCCACATTTGGGCCATTTTTTGGTTAATTTTCCATTTTAAAATATTTTTTAATATTATTTTAATATTATTTTTAATATTATTTTAATATTATTTTTAAAAAATATTCTAAAAAAGAAAAGACTCTTCTGTTGGTGTGTGCTCTCATTTGCTGTCTCCTGCCTGTGTTTGGTCCACATTTGGGCCATTTTTTGGTTAATTTTCCATTTTAAAATATTTTTTAATATTATTTTAATATTATTTTTTAATATTATTTTAATATTATTCTTAAAAAATATTCTAAAAAAGAAAAGACTCTTCTGTTGGTGTGTGCTCTCATTTGCTGTCTCCTGCCTGTGTTTGGTCCACATTTGGGCCATTTTTTGGTTAATTTTCCATTTTTAAATATTTTTTAATATTATTTTTAATATTATTTTTAATACCAAAAATATTCTAAAAAATTCGTTAATATTTACAAAATTTCTTAAATACCAAAACTTTTTTTTGGAAAGTTTTGTAATTATTTTAAATATCGAAACAAAAAAACACCCCAATTACAAATCGATTTTAGAAACAAATTTTTTCTTGATCAAACAGGCCTACTCCCCATGGCTGGCCAATCACAGCAGAAGGAGGAGAGGATTCGCTATCTGTTTCCAAAAAGGAAGAGAAGGACAGGCAAAGAGATCTTCAGCCTTCTCTGCCAAAAGGGTTCCTAGGACAATCAGAAATATACATTTTCTGATGGTCTTTAGCGACCCCTCTGAAACCCCCTCACGACCGCCTCCCAGGGGTCCTGATCTTCAGGTTTAGAAATACTGGCTTATATTGTCTAAAACACAGAGAGTTCCTTTTCAGGTTTGCCTGCCTCTGCAGTACAGGGTAGGAGAGAAACAGAAGGGTATGAGGTGGGAGAGGTCTTGATTAATAGGAAAACCCAAAGACCGCCCTTGAAGGCATTCAAAGTAAAACTGCAGCACAAAAAACACAGCATTTAAAAAGCACAGGCACATGATTTTGACAAAGAAGAAGTGATATGAAATGGTGGAAGAAAGAGAACTCTCCCCCGCTCCTTACAATTCCTCTAATGGTGTTCCTGGGATACATGAAGAACAGAGGAGAAATTGGCAGGATCAACAAAAAGCAGGGGGAAGGAGAAAGCATGCTCGCTGCTGTTTCCCTCAAGAATGGTTGAATGAAAGGTAATTTCTTGTTCCCTTCTCTTTCTGCCACAGGCTTGTTGCATGGCAACATATTTGGAATGTCAGGCAAAGGAAAGCATGTGTCTCAGGAGACAAGGTGGGCCACGGAAGGAGATCCGGAGGATGGGAGATAGACTGTACAAGTCCAGGCCATAGCCTCACCATTCTTGCCCACCTCACTCCATGGACAATCTGGCACTCATCACGACTGGCAGATTTCTAAATGGCAAGAAAAAGTGGTTTTCTTTTTGGAGGTGTTGGGAGTTTCACCAACCAAATCCAGGTACAAAATTTAGCACTAAAGAATTTGGAGCCCAGGAATACTCAAAGAAGTGACAAACATCTACAGTGTTTATCAACCTTTCTAATGCCGCAGCAACTACTTAAAACAGTTCCTCATGTTGTGGTGACCCCCAACCGTATTTTTTTCATTGCTACTTTATAACTACTTTTGCTACTGTTATGAATCATAGAATCATAGAATCAAAGAGTTGGAAGAGACCTTATGGGCCATCCAGTCCAACCCCCTGCCAAGAAGCAGGAATATTGCATTCAAATCACCCCTGACAGATGGCCATCCAGCCTCTGTTTAAAAGCTTCCAAAGAAGCCTCCACCACACTCCGGGGCAGAGAGTTCCACTGCTGAACGGCTCTCACAG